AATCCCCCTGTTACATCAGCCATCTCCGTTCGCTCAAGGCACAAGTGTGAGCTGTCGAACGCGCCAGGACCAAATCCAAATTTACGGTTCATCGGCAGATTTGTCTTCATCATACCACGACCTACTGCTGCGCTCTTGCCTCTGCCAAATCTTCCTTCTACTCCAAGGTTATCTTGGAGGCAAAAGACCACCCCAGGCTTCTCTTTTCCACCACAAACCGTCTCCTCCGTCCACCTACCCATACCTCGTCGATCCTCTCCTCCACTGTGAGGAGATGTTGGACTTCCTCGATTTCAAAAATCGAGGGGATATGTTCAGCCACCTCTGCCCCATCCACCACCACCCCCACATCACCTCTCCCTCATGACCCATCCCCCACCCATATCTCTCCCTCCTCCCTCTCCGCCATTATCACTACTCTATTGGTTTTGGATGCAGAGGAGAATGTAAAACAGGATAGACCGGGAGAGAGAGTTTTACACCATAGTTACACAATTTTACTCAATAGTTTTACACGCACCCAAATCACGAGGCAGGTGGGACCTGAATTAGTAACACGGCATAATGGGTGAGGACTTGGGAGAGGACAGAGTGTAGGTGTGGCAATCTTGGCATCTGACGTCAACACAATACAATGTAGACTTACACTGCGTCTTTCACGTCGGGAGGATGTCTCGAGGCATTTGACAGCCTTGGCCTGGCACCCGAATGCAGACAAAAGACAAACCTGGAACCTGGAGGGGTTGAGCCAGAGGTACTCCAGGATACAGAGTGGGGCAGATAGGCTGAAAATACCAAATGCGTGGCTAAAATATAGTTTCAGATCACAAGATTAGTTTGGATGAAGGGTTTCCCTTTGGCTCATCTGATCTTATTTGTCCAGAAACACCCATCCTATTGTAATTACCGTAGGTAGTGTAGGCATTCTGTAAGGATGAGATCAGATGAGCCAAAGGATTTGTGATTAAAGCAGTATTAAGCTGTTTCTTAAACAAGCACAGAGTCCTTGTCCCAACCCCTCTGGCCCTGCTCCCTTGGCGTATCTGAGAGTATTGTTCTGGCTTTGCTGTCTCAATCCTATTTCTAGCCTACTATGAAGCTCTAGCGGGTTTCACGTTGGGAGGACTTCTCAAAGTGCTTCACAGGATTTACTACAAGTGTAGTGACTGTGTGTTTTGTGGGTCAACACAGCAGCTAACTGTCACCCACTTGCACAGGGGACCTTGGCTTACGTCCGGCCTGTAGGTCGGCGCCTCTGACAATGCAATGCTCCCGCAGCCATTTTCTAATCGTTGCTCGTTCCTCTAACGCTGGCGCTGGAGGACATTTGAGAACATTTGACATTTTTTTTCTCTCTGTGTGTTTCGCTGTTACATTGCCCAAATGAACATTAATGATTTGGCATGGTGCGTCAACAGAGCATGAGACTCCTGGCCTCCCTACCCTCTACCCTCTCCCTCTTCCCCCATTCGAGACACATTTCTCTGCGTGTATGGGATGTGTATTGGGTGTAAGATGTGTGAATCCTGTCACACTCCTGTGTTATTGCTACACGAGTTACATTCCTCTGTAACATACAGATGAGCCAGTACTGGCCGCACCTCATAGTTTTGTGTCCAAACTAGTGATTTAAAGCCGGCTGCTGAATTTCCCTCTCGCAGTGCTATAGGCGTTCCTGTGATCTAATTATCAAATGTAGGTGTGTCAACAAATACACAATCACTCCGTTTCTCAGTAATTCCTGTAAAGCGCTTAGAAATGTTTCAAGGACTCCTATAGCTCAGTGGTTAGAGCACTCACTTTGCAAGTGAGAGACCTGAGATCAATTCCAGGCAGAGGGCGAAACCTTGGGCAAGTTTCCTTACTCCACACAGAGCCTAATAATAATCCCTCCAAAACCCAAAACAATAATAAATTGGTCATTTTCAATCTATGACTGTTTGTGGGACATTGCTGTGCGCAATTGGCTGCCGCGTTCGCCCACAAATATACAGTCAATTCACTTCACAGTGTGTTCTGTGAAGCGCTTTGGGACGTCCTCCCGACATGAAAAGCGCTATATCAAATGCAAGGATTATTATTATTATTATTAATAAGGCGTAATTCCAAATGTATATGTCCATATAAAGCAACAACAGCAACTTGCATTCCAGTGCATTGCTTGTGGGGGGGTGGGGGGTGCGGGGTTGCATTGTCAGAGTTTCCATCCTTCGGATCAGATGTTAAACTGAGGTCCCCTCTGCCTGTTCAGGTGGACATTAAAAATCCCATGGTACTGTTCAAAAAGAGGAAAGAATTTCTCTCTCCCGGCCTGTCCTGGCCAACAATACCCCTGATAGAATTGGTCATTTGTTTCATGGCTGTGTGGCCGTGCGCAAGCTGGCTGCCGTGTTTCGCCCACAAAATACACCTCGCAATACTTGTTATTATTGTCTGTAGGAACCTGCTGTCACACCTCAGGCTGTCTCACCTCTGGATCAGAGGTGACTGGTTCAAGTCAGGACTTTGGAGCAGTTCCAGCAGTGAGCAACAATTCCCTGTGAGGCTCTGAGATGCCACAGGTGTGGTAACAAGTGCAGCGATTATGTTTTATTATTTGTAGAAACGTGTGTTTGTTCCCCAGGTTCGGCAGAACAATGTCAGCCAAGACCCGGACCCTGACACTGAATATCAGCAATCAGTCTGAGAGCTGTGATCTGAAATACTATGAGTAAGTGGAATTTATTCTAATCTTCAGGTGTAGGACAGAGGTCATCGGGCAGCACAACAACAACAATTCACATTTATATATAATAATATAATACTCCTTACATTTGATACTAGCACCATTATCACATTGCCGAGACATCTCAAAGCTCTTCCCAGGATTTTGCTGTGAATTGCAGTGACTGTATTTTGTAGGCGAACGCGGCAGCCAGTTTGCTTTGGCTACAGACGAGAAACCTTGGTGTGTCTCACTGCCGAAGGTATTAGCAGTGTGGCAGGGCAGAGATTGATTGATGGGCTCTCGTGTTTCTGAGGCCTCAGCCCTTCTCTGCAGCTCGCTCGACTGTCTTCATGAGTCAGTGCTTCTCTCCGGTGCTTCTCCTCCTTGTTTGGGGGTGGGTGGGGAAGGGGGGAGGCGGGGAGAAGAGGGGGCAGAAGGGGAGAGGAGCGGGTAGAAGAGCTGGGAGGCTGACTGCTGGGTTTGGGCAATTGGGAAGGGGATGGGGGAGTTGTCGTTGGACCTTCTCCCCACGCTCTCCTTTCCATGTATTAGTGGCTGGGTTTGTGGTTGGTGTGAGCAATAAACCGGGCGTCCTGACAATCCACTTTTATCTCAGGAAGACTGGGCTGACCCCTATTTCTCTTTGACCCATTTCTTCTGCAGTTTGTATATGAAGGAGGGAGCTCCTGCTGACCCGTTGCTAACGCCCGAGGACGTACCTTGTGGGAAAGACGTCACCGTGCGGTTCTCCAACTCTCCGAACCCCAGACTTGGTATCGCGGGGATTGTGACATACCGTCATGGGGAGGCGGGCGCTGGCCTTGCCATCTCTTTCCTCCTTCCCGTCAATCGGCAGGAAATTCCCAACGACCTCATCTTCTCTCTGCGGCTCCTGCCCTCGCTCCGGGATCAGGACCTTTCTTCCCACGAGTTCAGGCATCCGGACACCGACCTGTACGTGGACATGATCAGGAAGCCGCTGGATCGCACCAGTGGGAACGGCGTCAGTGCCCAGAGCAGCTCAGTGCCAGGCGGACCGCACAGCTCACTCACAGTCACCCTCACCAACACCCGATAGGCACGGCCCCATCAACCAGCCCAGTCGTGGCACGGCTATCCTCGATTGTTCATCGACAAATCCACAGTTACTACACTTTACCAACCTCTCTGAAACACATCAAGGCTGTTCCATAGGTGCTGTATCAAGGTGCCAGCCTGGCTCAGTCACTCAAACTCTCATCCAGTTTATAAGTACGTGGGCTCAAGCTCCATGTTTAGACTGACGCTCCAGTGTAGTGCTAGAAAGAGCTCTGCATTCTCAGGTGCCGTCCAATGGATGAGACATTAAACCGAGGTCCCCTCTGCCTGTTCAGATGGACATCAAAGATTCTGTGGCACTATTTAGAAAGTGAAGGGAGTTTCTCCCGTGTCGGGGCCAACAGTCCCCCCAAAACAAAATTGGTCACTCATTCCATGGCTGTTTGTGGGATGTTGCTATGCACTAATTGGCTGCCAGGTTCACCCACAAAACACATAGTCACTGCACTTTACATCATATCCTTGTGAAGCGCTTTAGAACATCTTCCCAATATGAAAGATGCTATATAAATGCAATTTGTTGCTGTTGTATCAAATGTAAGTCTTATTATGTGCAGAGCGTAGGTTTAGTCATATCAGTAATCATTTCAAATACAGTTTTAAAAAAAACTAATTTTACCGTTTGTGGAATTGTGGCTGAACTTGTCCAAATCTGTTTCGCCCACAAAACATATTCAATTCACTTTACAGTATATTCTGTGAAGCCCTTTGAGACGTCTCAAAGACATGAAAAGCGTTATGTCAAATGCAAGGATTGTTATTATTTCCTTATTGAATGTGAATTTCTCCCAGTGGGTGCACTCCTCCGGGGAGAAAGAGAGAGAGAGAGCCCACTCCATTCTAAAGACTAGTTTCTCTATGGGAATCCATGGAATTCCAGTCTGGTTTGGATGCTCTTAAGCACAGTGATGCCTGTGTCAGGCACCATTTGGAAAGGTTGGGAGGATCGAACTCTCAGGATCAGAGAGCCCTTTATTCGACTCCTGTTGGCTTGCAAGCCATATAGAAGAGCGGTGGTTTGAGGAGCTGGAGTGTCATCTGCACAAGGACAAAGGTTGCTGATCTGGTCGCAAGTACATCAACAACTTGCATTTTATTTAGCGTTGTTCACATAGGAGCGCTGTGCGGGGCCTGATTGTCAGAAAGGAGCAATGTGTAGTTTATGTGCTGTGTGCAGGAACTTGTATCACAGAGCATCACTGACAGCATGAAATGAACACCTACAAGTCAAAATGTAGATTTATTCTATCCAAATGCAGCATTGCAAAGCTAAGTGAAGACCTGTAGCACAAGGCATTCAAAAAGGACTTTTGCTGCTGTCACGAGATTTATAGCACTCGAAACGTCAACATCAGTAAAACATCAACATGGTTTCAAATTGTCCAATATCATACACGGACATCAGGGAGCTATGTTAGTGTTCATTGCTAATACACACTGTACAGTTATACTTCAGCACAAATGTGACCAAACTCAATGTAGAGGAACAGAACTTGTCTTTTAAACAGTAACAGAAATGTGAAGTCAACACATCGCAATCTGTAACAAATTGTTTGGGTAACCCTTGTGTGTGACACAACGTCTTACACTAAAATGCCTCGAAAGTGCTTACAGTGACTTTGTGTTTTGGAATGAATTTATAAGATATTTTGCTCCCTCCCAGCCCCCCCTTTAGTTACTCCTTAAACTTTCAAGTTTAGGAGTAACTAAGATCTTACAAATAGTCAAACAGAATTGCGATATTTTCCAACAAATATTCATCAGAGCTATTGTCATAACTATCCCTGAAACCAACTCCTCACCATTGTTAGGGGCATAAATGCTGTTAAAAGGAAAGAGAATAGGTTACTTTCCTCAATGACAGAGTTTGTAAACGTGACGTATTGAACGGAAGTCAAAAAAGGTTTAAGATTTGTTTATCCTCTTCTGTTGTCTTCCAAGGATTTGTTCGTTTATCTCAAACCAGACTCTGCCGACCTCAGACTTGGTAAATGGATGTGCGAGGCTGTGCAGTCACTCATGAAATCGTACAATATTACTTGTTGTCTCCTCCTCTTTCCTTTGTTCGACCGTGATAGAGGCTTTGCACATTTTCACTGATCCTTTACGCTTCTAAAATTTCCAATACAGGCAAATGGCAAAACCCATTGCAAAGAACTGCATAACAAAAGGGAAACAGAGATAAAATCGACCACTCATTCACTTCACGACTTTTTGTGGGGTTGTCGCTGTGCGCAAATTTGAGATGTCTCAATGACATGATAAGGTGCTCAATTGAATGAAAAGATGAATATAGGATCCTTAGAATTCTTCACCCATGTTAGGCCACAAGAGAGGTTCGGATGAAGAAGAGGCCCATTAATCCCCTTCTACAATCTTCACCTTTATGTCTTCCCATCACAGCATCAAGCTGTTTTTTAAGTGACCCCCTGGTTTGAGCCCTTCCTGGTAACCCTGTTTTAGTGGTTAATTACTCTCAGTGTGATGTCGGGAGGTGAAGGTTTTCTAAAGCTGATTGTTCCAGAGCTCCCTGTACCTCTCGTCTTCCGTCTCTGTCTAATGATAAACTTTTCAGGAGTGTAACTTCTACACCAAGAAAGTTGTTATAAATTACATTTGTTTCTAAAGTATTCCTATTGCCCCAGTAGTTACAACGTGGGGGCAGACTAAATGAATAACCATTTGGCGGAAGCCAATTCGATAACAGCTTTTAAGAGAGAAGTAGATAATTTGGGGAGGGCAAGTTTGCAGAGCTATGGGGAGAGAGCGGGGGAGTGGGATTGATTTGGAAGCTCTTTTCAAAGAACCGGCACAGACACGATGAGCCAAATGGCCTCCTTCTGTGCTGTATAATTCTATGATGGTTTTAAATTTTCTATTTAACATGGTAGTGCGGTGAGGAACAGAACCAATCAGAGATACTCGATGTGGTCCCAGCGCCGGGCAATGTGCTGTGCATTAGGATGTGTCTCCCTGATGATACTCTGCATTGCCGATGTACAAGATGTTGATAAAATTTTGCAGAATGTTTAAAAGAAGTGTTTTACCTCCACTAGAAGCACGGATAGAGTGCAGATCCCAATAATGTGAATGTATTTCATAAAATGGCCCACCAGCACTCTGTAGCATCCCTGCAACAAAACCATCAATTAATGAAATAGTTCAGAGCTGATCCGTTAAAGGATGCTGGATCCATTCAAATCTTCAACATTGAGGTGGATAGATATTTGTTAGGTCGGTATCAAGGGATATGGGACAAAGGCGGGTAATTGCAGTTGAGGTACAGATCAGCCATGATCTAATAGAATGGCGGAACAGGCTCGAGGGGTTGAATGGCCTATTCCTGTTCCTATGTTCCTTTGCTTGTTCCACCCACCCATTATTCCACCTCCTCAAACCACTCATCCATCATGCTGACACCCATCTCCCAGCTTTGTGTCAAGCATTAACAGGTTCCAGCTGTTTTCCATTTCGTGTTACTTTCTCCTCAGACACAAATATTTAAGATATAGAGGAATGCAGGTGTTGGTGATTTCTGGACACAGAATTCTTGAGACAAGTGAGAGAGGGAAGTGTAGAGAGGAGCAGAGTACCAGGGAACCACGAGGGCAGAAAAGCAGCCTTGGCTGTTTATCTACATCGTTCAGTATTCCACCTATGCAGGAGGTGGCATCAAGTCTGTCCCATCAGTTTATTACCAGATCTTTTGCTCTCTCTCATTGCTCTCTATCCCTTCTCTACGACTCCTCTCTATTCCTCCACTCTATCACTCCTCTCTATCACGTCTCTCTATTCCTCCTCTCAATCACTTCTCTCTGTTCCTCTCCATCGCTTCTCTCTGTCGCTCCTTTCTATCACTCCACGCTATCACTCCTCTCGCACAATCAGGCTTTTGGGATCTCAAACACTGTACTTGGGAAGCAAGGGCTTTGAGGAATGTGGAGGACAGTCGGGAATCTCCAGGATCAAATACCTGGTCGTTCCTGAAATTGGGGTTTCCCAGCAAACACTCCTTCTTGTTCAAGATCTTCCCCGTGTCACTCCGCTTACAGCAGGTCAGAGGCACCCGCTTGGAGGGTGGCAACTTTCTCAGGGCAGTGACATTCATGAAATCATCCGGCCCGGTCACCCCGCAGCAGGAAAACTGAAATGGCAAAATGACAACATGTATGGAGTAACAAGCGCTATATTTTTAGATGATTAACAACCTCTGCGTTGGCTTTGTCACCCACACAAAAATATATATTAATAATAATAATCCTTGTATTTAATATAGCGCCTAATCATGCCATTGACATGTCTCAAAGCGCGTCACGGGATATACTGCAAAGTGGATTGGCTGTGTATTTTGTGGGCGAAACGCGGCAGCCAATACATCAAAGAGAGTTTGAGCCAAGACATCACCTATCCTGCGCAACAGGATATATTGTAAAGTGTAGTGATAATAATAATCCTAATATTACACAGCAGGTTCAGCTGGGGTGTGAGCCCAGCTGGCAATAGAAGTAGCCAGTGACGCTCTCTCAGTTGCCAATACAAGAAATTATTGAATCACTTACCGCTATCATGATAGTGTCCCATGTTTTCGAAAACACATCTTTGCTATTTTCTCCTTTATATTTAGACTTCAGTTCCGTTAAGAAATTTTCCGTTTTGATCTGAGAAAGAATCACACGCCATGGCGACAGGCGAAAGAGGTCAGGGAAGAGGTGAGGAATAGAAATGACAAAAAAACACTTAGCCTGTGGAGGTTTTGGGAAACAGCGCATGGGAGTGACATCCCGCAGGCGGTTTCAGCCGTTGGTCCGGGCGGGAGATTTTGAAATGGTGTCTCGGCTCCTGGAACCTTGAACCTTCCCCCCCGGTTACTGCATCACCCGCTCACCCACGCCTTGGCCTGAAATATTGCTGGAAAATTAAAAATACAAAGCTGAATCGCGTCTGATCGGAGTCCCTGGCTGGCCTCACGGCTTACCTGCTTTTTGAAGACGAAGACGAGAACGGCTCCAATCAGCTCCACCAGGAAGATCAGCAGAATCAGAATGAAAAACTGTAATGAAGATAAGATCGCCCATTAGTCACGCCGAAGCTGCTTCCCACCTTGACTTTTGCCATTGTCTGTAAGACTGATCACAGCTAAAAGTTGCCACTTTAAACCACTGAGAGATTTGCTGGCTGAACTTCGCAAGGTTCCTGCTTTACTTTGTCAGTCCATTACCAAGACAACGGCCCAGGGTTTACAGGGAGTGTGAGACACCAATGTGATTATTCACCAATCTGCGTTTCACATGGAATGTCCCAGTGTCTTCACTGAGATGCTGTGGGAACACGAGCAAAGTGGGGGAAGGGAGGGGGGGGGTAGGGGGCGCTGGTTGGTGACTGAACAGCCAGCCCATAAGGTAGGTCCACGCACAGAGAGGATGGCATGGATGACATTGGCTACATCACAGAGCAGCCCTTCAACATTGTAGATGGGTCTTTCCGTAAATCATCCAATAAATCAGAGCAGCAGGTGACGTTAAGATGTGCTGTGCTGTGTGCACACGGGGAGGGGCGGGATGTATGGGGGGGTGGGGAGGCTGCACGTGTTGTTGTAAGGCACTGCTCGTTGAGGATTTCGTTGTTGGTCCAGCGGGTGTCTGACACAGGCATTAACAAGAGCTGAGTGGGAAGAATCTGTCTGCTGCTTCCGAGGCATGTGCTGTCATCAGCATTGGCCTGGAGTAGTGCTGACATGCCGGGCCCAGGAACCGGACTAGAGTCCACCCCAGAGAATGGATCCGATCTGACATTCCATTGCCAGGCACCTTCCTCAGCCCCTCGAGGAGCCCTCACTGATCCCGAGAAACACTGACTACTAGAAACAGAATGAACGCCTCATATTTCCATCAGCGTCACAAACCGATTGCATCCCATCAAGGCTGGGATTATTCCACAAGAAATGAAAGGTGGTACTTACAGTCATAATAAGACATTTGCTCTCACTGATAGCTCCCCAGCAACCTAGGAATCCCACCAGGAAGAGAATCAGGCCCACTACCAGTATTATTGTTGCCCCGGTATAGATAAGAGGGTGCGATGATACGAGATACTTGAAACCATCAGGGTTTGCTGTGATCCAGGCACCAGTTCCGAGGAGGCAGAGTCCACCCAGCTGTAACAGTAAAAAACAGGGGAACAGTTCTGCATTAGCATAATAATAATAATAATCCTTGCATTTTATATGGCGTCTTATCACATTGTTGAGATATCTCAAAGCGCTTCACATAATATACTCTAAAGTGTATCGACTGTGAATTTTGTGGCCGAAACATCCACCCAAACCACAGAATAATGCGCCGAACTCTAATATTATATAAAATTTTCTTACGGAAAAGTAACCTATATCTCATAAGACAATTAAGATGTATATCCAGACCTTATTAAAATTGCATAGCGTATATTCCATTGAATGATAACCTGTTGTCATGGATGTTAGTTAATGTCGTCCCTTACAATTACCGCTGTCACAAGTGCATCACATGTTTTCTGCCTCAATTTCCCCATAAATAATCCTAATAATCCTTGCATTTAATATAGCGCCTTATCACGTCATTGAGAGGTCTCAAAGTGCTTCACAGAATTTACTGTAAAGTGGAGTAACTGTGTACTTTGTGGGCGAAACAATTAGAGCAATCTCTTCACAGTAGATGGATGGCAGGAACTTACAAAGATCAGAAAATTGAAGAAAAACATCAGGCACTTGATGAAGCCAATTGCACCTCCCATTATGATTCCTACAGATTCAAATCGCTTGAAGTTGTATCTGGTCTGGAAGAGAATGTGAGAGAACAGCAGGTTATATCCTCCAGTCACTTATTGATCAATCTCAGTAAATTTTAATTAGCTGCCAGTGTGGAGATATGAGGTTAACCATGAACTTACACCAGCTCCATCGGCATCGGATCAGCAAAACTAGTTTAAGCTTTAAGGTGTGACTGTGATAAAACAGTTACAATTTTATGTTGTGGTAACGGGACTAGAGACAGGGAATAGTTTGTGGGTTATGATCATTAATGATCCTCGCATTTGACATTAAGCCTTATCACGTTTTTGAGATGCCTTCACAGGATTTACTCTAAATAATAATAATTTTGCATTTGATATATTGCCGTATCACATCTTCAAGACGTCTCATAGCACTTCACAGAATATACTGTTAAGTGTATTTTGTAGTCAAAACACGGCAGCCAATCGTGCACAGCAGTGTCCAACAAACAGTCGTGGATTGAGTGACCAAATTATTTTTTAAAGGGATTATTACCCCAGAAAGCAATCCACCAATTGACTAGCAACCAGGTTCCTACTTACTGATAGATAAACAGAGGTGTGTGGAGTAAGGAAACCTGCCCAAGGTTTCACCCTGAATTGCGAGGTGAGTGCTCTAACCACTACGGACACACACCTGATCACCTAAATCCGGAGAGTATTAGGTGCAAGTTGGCAAGAACCAAGGCTTGTGCACCCCACGGTGTGAGTTGGGGTATTATTGGAGTTAACAACAACAATGACTTGCATTTATATGGCGCCTTCCATGGAGGGAAGTGGAGTTTAACCAGCTAAACCCACAAAGCTTGCTACTGAAAGGACTTCCTAACAAGCTGGCCCAAGCAGGGCTACCCAACTATCAGGGCTTTGGCTTGAAGGATTCATAAGAGCAACAGCAGCAAAAACAACAACAACAAATTTAATTTATCTAGCACCTTTCACTAGGAGGAAGTCCTAAAGCGCTAGACAGTCAAGGTTTCACACCCAAGATGGGGATTGGATTTAGGAGAGGTGGAGGCCGGTGGGGGGGGGAGGGGTGTAGAGAAGATGAGGTCAAAAAGGTAGGTCGTGTGAATGACTTGGACAGAACCAAGGGAAAAGACAAGGCGAAGGGGCAAGGCAAAGGGGCAGAAGGGTGGATTTCCAGAGAGAAGGAGCAGAAATGGTAAAGGCCCAACTGCTGATGGTGGGGTGGGCAGAGCAGGGGACGAGAAGCAAACTATTACCCACTGAGCAGAGGGAGCGGGCAGGTTGGCAATGTTTTAGAAGGTCACAGAGGTAAAGTAGGGCAAAACCATGCGGGGATTTAAAAAGTAAGGAGGAGGAACTTGAACTTGATCCTCTGGGAAATGGGAGAATCAGTGGAGCCGGGCAAGGATGTGAGTGATGGGCTCATGGAGGAGTTTAACAGGAGCCTAAAATCATTCTAAGCTGCTCCGTGACAACATCAGTAATCAGCAATTCACGCCGATCAATCACTGGAGGCCCAAAATTCCACCCAATCTCAACCTTTAAGACTAGCTTGGCGTGCAGTCTGAGTTGTGGCAATACTGTGGAAAATCCTTAAATTCAGTGTCAATTTGGAAGTTGTAGTTCAGCCACTTCAGAGGGCAGATTGTCACAGACAGAATTTCAGGCCGAGGGGATGTTATTGCGAGGGTACCTCATGCCTTTCACGTCAGGAGGAAGTCCCAAGTTGCTGGACAAACCAACCAATCAGGTATTTGCGATCAGGAGGGTTGGAGGACAGGGGTAGGAGGGTGACCAAAGGCACGGTCCAAGAGGAGAGTCTTGAGACTTGTGCCTTGAAGGAAGCAAGAGAGGGAGGGAGTGAGGCAAAGGGACTGTGCGATAGAGTTCCAAAGGGGAGACGAGCTGTGGAGTTCTGTAGACTGTTGGTTTGTTTTTATTCAGTTGGTGATGGCATGGATTCTGACAGGGAGTCAGACATGGGCTCTCACCTGGATAGGACAACCAGAGGCCAGAAGAGCGCTGGTGTGGAGTAGCAGTGACCGGGATGAGCTGTTACAGTAACACACAGGTCAGTAACTCATGTGTCACGAGGGGCAGCTGGTGCCTGGTTGTTTGTGGGTGGCCACCAGGGGCAGCGGTTTACTGACCAGAACCAGAACACAGAGGGCTGGAATGTTTTTGTCCGTTGGCCACAACGAGGTGATATGGCTTCAGCCGAACTTCTCGAAGGGGAATTGGAACTGTCCAGAGAGAGCCTCCCTGCCTCTACATAAAATCTTAGTCCCCACTCCACTGCCTCCGCTCCTTCTGGCTCCGTCCTCCGGCATGTTCATCTCCTCCACTCCACAATTGGTGGCCGTGGTTTCAGCCACTACGTCCCCAAACCTTGGAACTTTTTTCCTCAATCCTTCCACTTTACCCCGCTTCAGATCGCTCCTGAAGACCTTCCTCTTCGACTGTGCTTACAGTCACCTCTCCCCGGCTCGGTGTCAGGCTCCGCCACTGTTAAGCTCTCCGAGACGCTGCCCCACTTGAAGGGCGTTATACAACTACAAGTTGTTGTTGCATGAAAAAAGATGTTGATCTTCAGTAGAGAGTTGAGAATGCTGAAGCTTCGGATAGTGTGGGCACTGTCTCACTCTCCCCTCTGCTGCAGGATCAGGATACAGCCCTGAGCACAGAGCATCAACAACAAAACAAATTACATTTGTATAGCGCCTTTCATTTCAGGATGACCTCCCAAGGCTGGGACATCCTCACCAGAAAAGGGTACTGCCACTGCGAGCCAATGGCAACAAGTTAGAACATGAACTCGATAATCCAAAGAGAGCCACGGTGGGTGCTGTGCAAGTATCAAATTTCATCTGCGTTCTTTCTGCCAAATTCCTCCTCTCTTCTTTCTTGCTTTTCCACAGCCATCAATCCACCGGATATTAATAATCCTTACACTTTGATATGGCACCTTTCACATCAAAGGATGTCTCAAAGCACATCACAGGATTTACTGTAAAGTGTAGCAACTGTATATTTTGTGGACAAAATACAGCAGCCGATTTGTGCACAGCAACATCCCATAAACAGCCATGGAGTGAATGACCAATTTTAATTGATCCCTGTTCCCCCATATCAACCTGTCCGCTCCCTCCACTCAACACGGTATGGCCTGCTCCAATCTGCCACCCCCCTGGCCTGCCCCACCTTCGGCAGTTCAGTCTTTCTGCCACCGCCCGTTGGAACTTCATCCCACACTCCCTTCGCCTCACTCCCTCCCTTGCCTCTTTCAAGGCACCTCTCAAGACCCTCCTCTTCCATCTCGCCTTCTGTCACCCTCCTATCTCTATCCTCCCTGCCCTCCACCCTCCCTGGTCCCAACCTTCTGCTCGGGTCCAAATCTCTGATTGTCCAGCGCCTTGGAATGTCCTCCCGACGTGAAAGGCACTGTGTAAATGTAATTTTGTATTGTATTTGGGGATTGTTGACCAGGACATCGGGAGAAACTCCGTTCCCTTTTCAAATACTGCCGTGGGATCTTTAACGTCCACCTGAACAAACACAGTTTAACGACTCATCTAAAGGACGTTACTTACCTCTGACAATGCAGCCCTCGTCCCCACAGCACGCTGGAGAGTTAGCCTGGAGCAGTGGGGGCTGTTGGACAAAAATATACATTTCCTTGATTGAATATTTCTGGCACAAATCAAGAAATATTCAATCAAGAGAAAACGGAAAACACATCAAAACCGATCGATAACGGATTTATCTGGACTTGTGTAAATGTCCGAGGGGGGGAGGGGGTTAGTGTTTCTTGACGGGTTGGCCACCACTGGTCTAGACTGTGAGCTCAAAGTCCTGACATGGAGCGTCAAGACCTTCTGACTCAGAGATGAGAATCATCTGATTGTGACCCCACAACATTGCACCGTTTGGAATCTATTAAACTCTTTGACAAAATATTAATGTCCATGAAATCCAGGATTGTTGCAGATATTGAAAGCTTTCCCCACCCCCTCCAAAGCTTGAAGAACCGCCTGATATTCGTCTTTCATTGAAAACATAGAAGCATAGAAACAGGAGGAGCCACTTAGCCCCTCGAGTGTGTTCTGCCATTCTATAAGATCATAACTGATCTGTACTTCAACTCCAATTACCGCCCTTGCCCCGTGTCCTCTATTACCCTGACCTATCCATCTCAGTCTTGAAGATGTGAAGATTCCTCAATCCACGACTGTTTGTGGGACGCTGCTGTGAGCAATTGACTTCCGTGTTTCGCCCACAAATATACAGTCAATTCACTTTATAGTATATTCTGTGAAGCACTGCGAGACGTCTCGAAAACGTGATAAGGCGCTATATCAAATGCAAGGATTATTATTATTATTATTGACTGTGGATGCTGAGACCTCAACAAACACAGCACACATCAGGAATTGATCCCACCTCTCAGGTGTCTATGGTCAGTAAAAATCAGGCACAAGTTAACTGGAGATAACCATTACCAAACAGACAGGAAAGAGTTTCTAACAAGCAGATACATAGAGTGGCTCAGTAACTCAGATTTGGCTCAGAGACCAGCATGAAAGGTGGAGACAAATTGAGAGTACTAGAGACTGTCATCAACCACTGGAGATTCCCACATACTGCCAAAGACAACCAGATACTCACTGGAGACCAACAGATCCCACCAGAGATAACCATAAACCAGCACAAACCACTAGAAACCAGCAGAGACCACTGAAGTCAAATGGCAATCCACACATAATGGTAATAATAATCCTTGCATTTGATATGGCATCTTATCACATCTTCGAGACATTGTGGGCGAAACACGGCTGCCAATTGCACACAGCAGTGTCCCACAAACAGTTGTGGATTGGATCACCAAATTCTTATTACAACAACAACAAGATTCCATTTATAGAGCGCCTTTCACGTCGGGAGAACGTCCCAAGGCGCTGGACAGTTGGGTCAGGACCCGAGCAGGGGGGAAATGGTCAGGGTGAGGGGAGGGAAGGGAGGGAAATATTATTATTATTGGGGAGAAATTCCACCCAAAACTAAACTTATTCTATTTACTTAGCATTTCAGGGCATCCAGAGTTTAATAAAATGTTGAAGCCAGTTGTGACTTTGCAATTGGTTTCTTATAGTTTTTAAAAGAACTTACAGAAAACCGGCTTCAAAATTCAGACTCTGTTGAAGAACCTGCCAAATTCTGGACGTTTGGAAATGCTCTATAAATAAAGAGTAAATCTGGACCCAAGTGAAACTCGTATCCGTGTGTTCCCTTTATGGCCTATGGAACGTGGGAAGGCTGTACTTCTGAAGAGACGATTGTTATCAAGTGTGAACAACGTGTTTGATTATCTGTGTGGCTTTGACTCTAAATCAACATGATATGAATGTGTAATCTCACCCCAAACTCCACTGCAGCATTGAGGGCACCAATGCTGTAGCATTGCCAATGCCGGCCTTAGATCAAGGAGCCCATAAGATCACAAGATTAGTTTAGATGAAGGTCCCTCTGCCCATTTGATCTCATCCCTCCAGAAACACCAGCCGAGGTCTCTCCCTTCGCCTCCAAATCTTTGTGATCTTAGCCTGCAGACAATTATCTTAATGTTTAAGAGGATTTAGACTGTATTTAAGAATTTCCAAACGTTGACAAGATCTTTCAGGACGATGTGTTAATGCTCGGATCCTGAGCGAAGCAGGACTCACTCCTCCAGCATGCGCTGAAGGTCCCTCAACCCAACTGTATTGTGAGGAAGAGTTTCCCCGGGTCCTGATCCGTATTTCTCATTGAATCCACACTGAGTTGAGGCCAAGTCTGTCAGTTCGTTTAGAAGGAAAATTGGACAGGCTCTCGAAGGGCGGCGATATTATTATTATTAATCCCTGCTTTTAACCCAGCGCCTTCCACAGCCAGAGGGTCTCTCGAAACTCTTCACGGGGTTTACTGTCCCAGTAACCGTGTGTTTTGTGGGCGAATGCAGCAGCAAATATCCCACAAACAGCCGTAGAGCGAGTGACTGATCTTATTTGGGGGCGGGTGGGCGGGGATTGTTGGCCAAGGCCACCGGGAGAGAGAGTGGGAGAGAGAGAAACTCCCTTCTCTGTTCGAACAGTTCTTATGGGATCTTTAACATCCGCCCGAACAGAACAACAACAACAGCAGCAGCAGCAGCAGCAGCAGCTCGGGTTTACACAGCGCCCTCCAAGCCCACCCCCCCAGCCCCCCGCCCCGGCCCCCCCCGCCCCCCGCCCGCCACCCCCACACCCCCCGCTCGCCACCCCCACCCGCCCCCCCGGCCCCCCCGCCACCACCCCACCCGGCCCCCCCGCTCGCCACCCCCACCCGGCCTCCCCGGCACCCCCCGCTCGCCCCCCCCGGCCGGCGTCAGCTCGGGCTGTGAGCCCCGGGCGGGGCGGGGCGGGGCGGGCGGGGCGGGGCGGGTGGGGTGGGCGGGGCGGCAGGAACGTGAGCGGCTGTGATCCGGGATAACCCGCGACAGTCCGGCTTCCGCGTTACCTCCAGCAGCCGCGGCGGCGACGGCCAACGCGAGTGACGCGTGTGACCGTCCCATCACCGTCCCTCCGCCCCGGACGGCCGGCAGCTGCAGCACCGCACGGCAGCCATGCACTCCGGGCACAGCACCCCCGGGTGACGGGCTCCGACACTGCACACACACAGCACAGCCGCAATACACAGCTCAATACACAGCACGGCACAGGCACAATACGCGGCACAATTCACAAAACAATACCACAGCACAATAACACAGCACAATAACACAGCACAGGCACAATACACAGCACAATACACAAAACAATACCACAGCACAATAACACAGCACAATACACAGCACAATACACAGCACAATAACACAGCACAATAACACAGCACAGGCACAATACACAGCACAATACACAGCACAATAACACAGCTCAGGCACAATACACAGCACAATAACACAGCATAGGCACAATACACAGCACAATAACACAGCACAATAACACAGCACAGGCACAATACACAGCACAATAACACAGCACAGGCACAATACACAGCACAATAACACAGCACAGGCACAATACACAGCACAATAACACAGCACAATAACACAGCACAGGCACAATACACAGCACAATAACACAGCACAGGCACAATACACAGCACAATAACACAGCACAATAACACAGCATAGGCACAATAACACAGCACAGGCACAATACACAGCACAATAACACAGCTCAGACACAATAACATATGCAATGCAATGACACACACAGCACATTAACACAGCGCAGGACACAATAACACACAGCGCGGTAACAACTCACCAATTGTTTAACAAAATCTGAATTATTAGAAATGAAGTGACTGTTGGAGGTAAACACAGCAGCTAATCTGCACTAACGATGTCTCAAGCGCTCTGGGACACTACCCTACATGAGGGAAAAGACGGGGGACGAGAGGACAAGAGGGAATAATAATAATAATAATAATCCTTACATTTGATATAGCGCTTTTCACATCGGGAGGACGTCCCAAAGCGCTTCACAGAACACACTGTAAAGTGAATTGACTGTATATTTGTGGGCGAACGCGGCAGCCAATTGCGCACAGCAATGTCCCACAAACAGTCGTAGATTGAAAATGACCAATTTATTATTGTTTTTGGTTTTGGAGGGATTATTATTAGGCTCTGTGTGGAGTAAGGAAACTTGCCCAAGGTTTCGCCCTGCCTGGAATTGAACTCAGGTCTCTCACTTGCAAAGCGAGTGCTCTAACCACTGAGCTACAGGACTCCATGAAGGGGAGATTTGGGGAGGAGGAAGGAAAGAAGTGGGAGGGGAGAATGGGGGCTCTTTTGGTCCTGACATGAGCTGTACAATATGGAGTCCTGTAGCGGTTAGAGCACTCGCCTCGCAAGCGAGAGGACCTGGGTTCGATTCCTGGGCAGGGTGAAACGTTAGGCACGTTTCCTTACTCAACATGTCTCTGTTTACCTAACAGTAAGTAAGAAACTGGTAATTAGTCGATTGGCGGATGGCCTTTCCAGGGGTAATAATCCCTTCAAAAATATATTTTTTATATAATAATTTGTTCACTCAATCCACGCCGTTTGTGCGACGCTGCTGTGCGCAATTGGCTGCCTCGTTTTGCCCACAAAATATACAGGGTATTCTGTGAAGCGTTTTGAGATGTCTCGGAGATGCGATGAACCGCTATATCAAAGGCAAGGATTATTATTATTATTCATGTAATCTCTCTGAAGAATCTCTTGACGTTCTGATGTGGCCTTTTAATCTGATAGCAGAATCTCCCGATGCGTAGAGATTTCCTTCTTGGTTTCAGGGACTGCGGAGGGTTTATTTGGAAAAAATAAACTTCTCTCAAATCTTTCTTTTCTGATTCCAGCAAAATAACTCAAGAGAAATAACAGGTCAAAGTCGCGGAGCATGCTCTCCCTCTCTGTGCTGGATCCTCTGAAGGTTCCCAAGATATACTCCTGATGTGAAAGGTTTGTATCAAATGTAAGGATTATTATTATTAGTTTAGTCATTTTGCTTTGTCTACATAACATCAATAAGAATAAAAAAATTACATTTGTCCAGCGTCTTTCACGTCGGGAGGACGTCCCACAACTTTGTCTTCATTTCTAATCAGTTACATTTCGTACGGTGTTTCGAAATGCTTATGTACCTGGCTTCGGCTAAATGCAAGTCCCTGTGCCGTTATTATAAGCTTGTTTGACTTAATTCAAAGATTGTGAACACCTGATGCATCAGCAGAGATCTTGATTGATGCCGTTTACATTGATTTTCCCTTAAATACCATTTTGGGGGTCAGACGTTCGCAGGTTGTAGCACCACTTGGAGGAAGTTCCCGCAGTGTGGGGGAAGCACTGAATTGTGAGACATCGTCCTTCAGATGAGATGCAAAACCGAGGTCCCTTGTGCCTGTTCACGTTAAAGCCGTGATGCTATAGGAAAAGAGAAGCCACCGGCAATGTGTGAATCATACAACATGTGATAATGCGTGACCGATAACACACCAACCCAAAGAGACTCCACAAATGAGCCGTCAATTCCATCTCTCTTTTAATAAAGTTCTAACGAAAGGTCATCAACCTGAAACGTTAACTCACTTTCCTCTCTCCGTAGATGCTGCCTGACCTGTTGTGTGTTCCCAGCGACTTCTGTTTTTATTTCAGATTTCCAGTGTCTGCATTATCTTGACTTTTGTTTCTTTTAATGAAGTTAATTTACAAAACAAATGGACCATATTACCAGTGGTTCGGGGATGGGGGGGTTGGGGAGGGAGAAATCTGAACATCTGCCAGAGAACAATTCCCCCGAGAACGCCACTGAATTTACCAAAGCAGTTCGCAAACCATGTTCATCTCTCATCACCACACTGGGCTGGACCCACGGCCACGTCTGCAACTCATTTCAGAATCACGTAGAGAACCAGCGACACAGGAAATAGTTCTGAAGTGATAGAAGAGGACAAAAACACTTTCTGTATCAAATTACAAACTTGGTTAATTTGATGCTTGTAGCAGAAGCTTCTGAGATTAGATTAGACATCTGTTTGGACTGAACTGCTGTCTGTTCAGTTAACATCCATAGCAAATGTGACAACAGCCCCCATCCCTTAAGTAGGATACAAAAAGTAACCCCCCCCTTAAGAACAGCAGAACAAAAGGGCAAAGGTTTAGAGTTTTAAAGGAGCAATTTCAGGACAGATAACAGAACATTTTTGTTTACCCAGTGGGTAATTAATGACTGATACAGATCAACAGGAAGGGTGGTTCAGGCCAGGACACTGGGACTCAATTTAAAAAGCAGCTCACGCTGTGATAGGACGACGGTTGGGTGGGTGTTCTGGAGGGAGGAGATCAGATCAGCCGATGGCTTTTCTTGATCTCCTGATGGCCGGGTGATGCCAGTCACAATGTTAGACAGGATGTCTTCACCTCGTGTTTTGGAATGCAAATGAGACCCTGACCCATTAGTCCATGTACTCTTGACAATATCTGAAGCAAACTGCTTCCTGCATATTGCCCAGAGCTTCTGGCTACTTTGAATTTTTTTTCATCGTTTGACTGTTTACAAACCCAGTGAATAATACCCCAAAACTTTGAAACTCTCTCCCCCAATCCTTCTGTCTTGCCCCCTCCTTCCCCTCTTGTAGATCAAAACTGAAAACCTTCCTCTTCGATCATACTTACGGTCACCTCCTCCCTCCCACCATGCTTGGCATCAGGCTCCACCACTGTTAAGTGCTTCGAGATACTGCCCCAAGTTAAGAGTGCTACATAAATGGAAGTTGTTGTTGGTTGTGGTGGTAGTTCAATGGGTGTTTAATATCCCAGCCATATAGACGGTATGAAAGTCTCACCCCTAATGAAGATCACGAGCAAGCTGAGGACCTTTGGCCAATCTGACCTCCCATCACAGTATCAAGTTGCTTTTTAATCTAGTGTCCTGGCCTTAGCCACCCTTTCTAGTTATCCTCCGTGTAAAAAAATATTTCTTAGTGTCTGTCCTATACCGTTCAAAGTGACATTTGTTTGGGCAATCGTAACCCAATCATAATAAGATCAGGCCTAGCTCAGTCATTAGAACTCAGTCAGTGCCTTTGAGTCAGATGCTTGTGTGTTTGAGACCCGTATTGGGACTCTGAGCTCATATAATATAAGCGGACACTCCAATACAGTGCTGGAGGTGTGTTGTATTGTTAGAAGAGCCATAATTCGGTTGAGACGTTAAACCAAGGCCCTACCTTCCTGTTCAGGTGGATGTTAAAGATTCAATGATGCTACTTGAAGAGAAGGAAGGTTCTGTGAAGCGCTTTGAAACATCTCGAAGACGTGATAAGGCGCTATAACAAATGCAAGGATTATTATTATTGCTATTTGAAAATAGGCTGCCATATTTGCTTATAAATGCAGTCACTGCATTTTACAGTAAATCCTGTGAAGGCTTTGAGGTATCTTCCTGATGTAAAATTTGAGACAGACAGTTTTAAGACCTTTGGCTGAAACAAGTTTGCATTCTAACAAACAGCATCAATCGAAATGTGCCCCTTGCAAGTGAAGGCTCCAGCTCAAAACCTCTCAATGTGGAGTTTGTCACTGCCCCTCACCACACACTTATAAATGATATCCAACAATAATCACTTACATATATACAACGCTTTTCATGTTGGGAAGATATCTCAAAGTGCCTTACACAGCTGATTGGGTGATGATGGTGGGAGGAACGGGGAGCTGAGGAGGATAATACAGTATAGACAGCAGGCTCGGACATGTAGTGGGAAAGGATGGAACATTAATAAACACAAGTTTCTCATTTGAAAGTTGAAATATCCTGATGAAGCAATCCCATTTGACAGCAATTCTCAGTCAACTGGAGCCGGCCACGAAGTCATCGCTGGGCACCCTGTGGGACCTGGGTTTGTCCCAAGGAACCCACACAGCCTCGAGGAGCCCGCACTGCTTCCAAAACTCAAGCACAACCAGTTCAAGTGACTGATCCACTCGGACATATATTCTCCCATCCGGGACAGACTGACGAGATCTGACAAGGCTTGAACAAGTTTAACTCAAACAGCTGCATTACATGATACTGTCTCATGGCACAGTGCAAAGCTCCTGTTTGTGTTCTCTCGGGTTACAGAGCGTCCTGTCGAGACGGACTTAAAAGTTGGCGAAATACATTCTAGCTATGCAAAGTGCCCGAGATGGACCTGGAGCCACCTACCTGGCCAGCCGGCCCTGGTGTGCTCCCAGCTCTGATGTTGCCTGATAGCCCAGGACCTTCCGGGATGCCTCGCCACTGTGTGGTATGATATGATCACGTCTGGCCATGACCACTTCCAGCAGCATGTTTGAGAGCAGCGGTGCCATATACACCAGAGCTTGTGGCCAGCGGTTGTGGCCAACCAGAACCACAGGAAATGATTCAGTGGAATTTTAACCTTTAAGCAGCAAAACATAACCCGTCTTTCTCTTAGGAGCCTGAGCAATGCAGAGGTTATTGTTAGTGTCTCTAACCTCTCGAGCCTGGGGCTCTGATCAATGGTGTGTTTGTATAACACCCCCCATATACCACAACATGAACTGCCAATCCTTCAGAGTCTATCACTGTACACGAAGGTGGTTCCCCTCCCCACTCCGACCATCATTAAAACCAAAGTCCTCGGTAAAAAAAGTTGTAAAAATCAAGTGTTTCCATCTCATGTTTCACTTGTCAAATATTAATAGGTTTTCAGCCGGGTTTATTTCCTGTCAACTATTCCAGGCTTCTCTCAAGGTTTCAGATCGTATCCCAACCGTCCTTTAGTTCCTAGCCAGAGGAGAGGGAGAGAGTGGGGGGGGGGGACTTCAACAAAAAGAGACACACACACAGTGAGAGAGACACGTAGAGAGAGAAAGATGGAGATATGGAAGTCTTTCATTCTACTGAGGGTTGATTTGATTCCAACTTTCCAATCACATGACCTTGGAGCCAGCTCAGCCCAAGGAGACTCCCTTTCCTGGTGGTGAAGGGAGTGAGTTGGAAAAATTCACCAATTTTGCTTCCACCTTCCACCCCTCCATAACATTCTCATGATCAGTTCTGACGGAGGGTCGTGGACCCGAAACTTTTGACTCACTTTCCTTTCTCCACAGATGCTGCCTGACCCGCTGAGTGTTCCCAGCGACTTCTGTTTTAGTTTACTGTATATTTTGTGGGCGAAACACAGCAGCTAATTGCGCACAACAGTGCACTATTGGCTGCCACAATCCACAAGCGGTCGTGCATTGAAGTGACCAAATTATTGTCTTTTTTGAAGGAATTTTTACCCCTGGAAAAGCAACCGGGTTCCAACTTACTGCGAGGTAAACAGAGAAGTGTGGAGTAAGGAAACTTGTCTAACGTTTCGCTCTGTGGGAATCAAACTCAGGTCTTGTTTGCGAGACAAAGTGCTCTAACCACTGAGCTACAGGACTCGAGTCATCTTAAATCCTTAACTGTCTGACTCAAGAGGCGAGAGCACTGCCATAGAATCATACAGCACAGGAGGAGGCCATTTGGCCGGGCCATCGGGCTTGTGCCGGCTCTCTGAGAGAGCTGCCAACTAGTCCCACTCCCCCTTCTCTTACGCCGTAGCTCTGCACACGATACCAATCAACAAGTGAGATGATGCCCTTCGTAAACTTCAGTCAATGTCTTCAATATCCCCTCTGGCACCGCGTGTGGCCATCATACTGCACTGGGACCACTGGGGGGGCCCGGGGGGGAGGGGCCGGGGGGGGGGCCCGGGAGAGGGCTGGGGGGAGGGGCCAGGGGGAGGGGCCCGGGGGAGGGCTGGGGGAGGGGCCCGGGGGAGGGCTGGGGGGGTCCGGGGGGGAGGGGTCCCGGGGGAGGGCTGGGGGGGCCCGGGGGGAGGGGCCCGGGGGAGGGGTCCCGGGGGCGGTGCTGATTGGCTGGGTAGGGGTCGGGGGTCAGGGCTCCCAGCGGCCCCTGCGGTGTGGCTCCGGACACGCCTGCGCGGCGCGGGGGATTGTGGGATCGAGGAGCGGAGCGGCAGTGGGAGGAAATGGGGTACTCACTGGTGAGTCACAGCACCGACCCCGCGCGGCTTCACACACCACTGCCGTGTGCCACTGCCCGGGCGGGCGGTCTGTGTGTCTCTGTGTGTGTGTCTCTGTCTGTGTCTGTGTGTCTGTCTCTGTGTGTGTGTCTCTGTCTGTGTGTGACTCTCTGTGTGTCTCACTGTGTCTGTGTGAATGTGTGTGAGTGTCTCTGTCTGTGTGTCTCTGTCTGTGTCTCTGTCTGTGTCTCTGTCTGTGTGTGTGTGTGTCTGTCTGTGTGTGTGTGTCTGTCTGTGTGTGTGTCTCTGTCTGTGTGTGTGTCTCTATCTGTGTGTGTGTCTCTGTCTGTGTGTGTGTGTCTCTGTGTGTCTCACTGTCTGTCTGTCTGTGTGAATGTGTGTGAGTGTCTGTCTGTGTGTGTGTGTGTGTGTGTCTGTCTGTGTGTGTGTGACTCTGTGTGTCTCACTGTCTGTCTGTCTGTCTGTCTGTCTGTGTGAATGTGTGTGTCTGTGTGTGTGTTTGTGTGTGTGTCTCTGTCTGTGTGTCTATCTGTGTGTGTGTCTCTGTCTGTATGTGTGTAACTCTCTGTGTGTCTCACTGTCTGTCTGTCTGTCTGTCTGTCTGTGTGAATGTGTGTGAGTGTCTGTCTGTGTCTGTGTGTGTGTGTGTGTGTGGGTGGGTGGCAGAGGAACCACGCATGTGATTGGAAGTTCTGGGTTCCGCACCACTCTCTGTTGCTGTCAAAGAACTCCAAACAGATGGGTTACCCCATCAGCTGTCTGACACAGCACCACAGCTTATTAACACTAAGAGTCAGGTTAACAGCAGGCGTTTGGCGATGAAATCAAAGAGAACGGTCATCAATGGAGTAAAACCTATCATTTTCAGCTGAAGCATCTCATTCCTTTAAGAGCTGTTAACAACAACAACTTGGATTTATATAGCGCCCTCCACGCCGGACGGGGTCTCAGAGCGCTTTACAGTTTATGATCCCGGGGCCAAGTCGGGGGGATGGGGGGGAAGGTGGCCAAAGGCGCGGTCGAAAAGAAAGGTCTTCAGCAGAGACCTGAAAAAGGGAAGGGAGGGAGCGAGACGAAGGCAGTTCCAGAGCCTCGGGGCGTAGTTAATATTTTTCACAAGAAGCCTCACCTTTAGTGCAGCTGAAGTCAATAATTAAGGTTGCAGACAGATACCATGTCATAGTTCCATGGTTCTTTGGGTTGCTAAAGTGAGGTATATCTTTATTTCTAATATCTGATTGTTTCCACTGCTGTCTTGTCAGCCCATTCCCATCCTGTTGTTCCCACTGTCCTGCTGGCTTCGAAATACACTGCCTGAATTTTATTTTTTTAACTTTTGGGAAAAAATTCTGCATTAGTCATGCCAGAGATGTTTGCAAAATAGTTATTAAACTAGATGGGTAGGGGCAAGTTAGTGGTTATTTCAGATCACAGCAATGAATCTTAACACATTTGGTACGTTTAGAAGCTTCTCTTGGAATTTCTGACTCATCCAGAACTCATTCATTGGAGTTAATGCCACTTAATTCTATTGTGAATGCCTCTAACATTATAGAAACTTTGTGGTCCATCTTAAATCCATGGCTGATTGGCACAATTGACGGCTGCATTTTGCTCACCAAATATACAGTCAATTCACTTTACAGTATTATTCTTGGTGAAGCACTTTAAGATGTTTCAAAGCCGTGATAAGGCACTATATCAAATCCAAGGATTATTATTAAATTATAACTTTTACTAATTATTAACTTACCAATATCTTCCTCACACTAATTATCTAAATATGCAGTGTAACAAGGAGCAACATTAAAATGTATTTGAACATTCCCTTTGTTATATAACACAAAATATTCTTAGCTGAAATTGCGATACTCAAATAGAATGAATATAGGGATCAGTAATGCTCACTAGTTTAATGATTAAAACCTATGTTTCAATGCTCATTGTATTACTGTACTGCAGGACAACCACATTATAATATGTGATTCCTTATCCAGTAAAACCAAATCCCATTCAGTGTATAATCAAAACCAACTTCCAGGTCATTGTGGTTTGGGTGTATCTATGGCGCCTTTACCTCCTACTCCGGGCCGCTCCCCGTCCTTTTCCCTGCAGCTTTGTACAAGCTTGTGAGAGGCAGCGCAGAGAGCGACAGGAAGGTGAAACCACCAATTGTCCATTAACCCGATTGCAAAGCAGTACCTAAACCATAATAGGGCTGTACTTGAAGTGACCCAAGAAGGCAGTTATTTTTACAAGATAAATCTGGGAATAGGTGGTGGCAGTTTGAAAAGAGATGTAGCCTATAGTTAGAATTCTGGTGCAGAGGGCATGTAAGAACACCTATTATTAGCTGAGTACGTGAGGTAATTTTACACCATTACTTTGCTTGTTATGTGAGTGGATCTTGTTTTGCCAGGGGTAGCCTCTTTGAGTTTCTTTGGTGTGGAAATTAGCCAAGCAATAATTATACTTTTTAAATGATTCATTCTGTTGTGAAGCACCAACAGGTTCAAAGCTGCCAGCACATTTCCATTTTTTTGCATTAATCAATCGCAGTGTTAAGCCTGCAAGGAGTCTGCTTTCCAATGCCTTTATGTAGTGTCAGCGACTCGTATAACTTTAAATGTCAATGGGAATGGGCGCTGCCAATATTGACATTTGACTGTGGAAATATTACAAGCTGTTGTCAAGGTTGGAAGGAAGAAGAGAGGGAGCCTCAGTCTTCTGTTTTATTTCTCATTTGATCTCTAGTTACTGTTCCACAGCTCTCACTGATAGTCAGTCTGTCAGCAACTATTTCCACAACAGGAGTCTGTCTGAGAAATGTTGTGGATGATCAGTGATGTGCTGCAACAATGTGGGAAAAACGTTCACTCTGAATTTCAAACATGAATTCAGCAGAGTTTGGATCAACTCCTCAGTTGGAGAGGATCTAGCTTAAACAGAACTATAGAGTTTTTTCCGATGCCCCCAGATTAAAACATTGGTCATTCACTTACTCGCTGTTGATATGCAAATTATATTCACCCACAAATATACAGACACTACACTGTTACGGAAACCTCTGTGAGGCACTTTTGAGATGTTTTCAAGTGATGTATCAAATTCAAGGATCATTTTTAAAATTCTATAACACATTTTGTTTGTGATAATAATTAATAATAATCCTTCACGGTGCTTCACGGGGGATGATCCCAAGACCACTACAGAGGATTGAGTCAATTACGACATCCCATTACGATTACCAAGCACGGAATCCACTTACACCCGCCTTCCCCCCACCCCCCCATGGTAGTGTTCCACATAATTTCCCCTTGTCTAGAATGAGATACCCACATTCTTCTTGGAGGGATGCACTCTGCTTTGGATTTCAAGATCCTCACACTTGCCTACAAAACCCTTCATGCCCTGGCACCTCCCTACTTCTCCAACCTGTTTATTCCCCTCTCCACTGCTCACTGCCTCAGCGCACTGGTTCCACCCTGCTTGTCCCTCGTGCCCTCCACTCCACCATCGATGGCCGCGCTTTCAGCCACTACTTCCCGAAACTCTAGAAAACTCTCCCTCAATCCTACGCCTTAGAACTGAACTACTGAGAATGCTGCAGAGGTTTGACTAGATTTCCACATTCCATTGCCAAGCATGTCACCTTGGGTCCAAAGAGACCCCACTTACCGCTGCCCCCTCCCCCCCCCCCCCCCCCCCCCCCCCACCCTCCTGGAAGATAGTCGATTTTATGTCTTGGTTAATACTGCAGGAATGATTTTGCCAAAGTAGTGCCGGGAATTTGCAACACTAAATCAGTGTTCATGACTCCACTTTAATGCTCTAATGTATGTTTCTAATGATGAAAGCTGTTTCCACTTGTGAAGAATATATATTTTATGTTTTTCCTATTACTGTAAGATGCTCTTGTGTTTTACAGACCTCTGGAGTGATTCTTGCTGTTGGTGCAATTCTTGTAACCACTGTAGGAATTGTTGTGGGACATTTTGTGATCAATAGGAAGAAGAAGCCTCTCATCACATTGATTGATCCCAATGAGAAGTATCTGCTGCGACTCATAGATAAGGAGGTAATGCGTCCCTTGTGTTTGTAAATCATAACACGTCAAGGAAAGCATTACTAAAAAGCTTTAAAACTTTAATTATTTTAACAGGTTGTGAGTCATGACACCAGGCGGTTTCGTTTTGCTCTTCCTTCACCAAAACACATCCTTGGCTTGCCTATTGGTAAGATAATTTAATCTTAAATTGTGTCAACAACAGCTTGCTATAAATATGTAGCGCCCTTCATGCGGAGTAGCGCCTCGGAGCTTCCCTGGCCAATGCCTTTCTCTTTGACTGAGTCTTCAGTCAACTCCCCTCCACACCCACCCCTAACCCCCAGTTAGGTGCAAACCCTTGACTGCCCAGCGCCTTGGTCATCCTCCCTTCATGAAGGGTGCTACAAACATGCAACTTGTTATTGTCGTTTACTCTCCTAATCTCTTGAACTCCATGCTTCAATTGCTCTGCCTCATCTCTTTATCTTTAAATCCCATTTTCAAACCTACCTCTTTGACCACGCTAAGGATCACCTTTCCATTCTTCCTTACTCGGTGTCCAACCCCGCCACTGTAAAGCACTCAGACATTATCCTATGTGTAGGGTGCTGTATGAACATAAGAGGTTGTTATCTATGAGCTCGCCACTAAGAGCTATAGTATGTGAGGATAGCTTCAGTTAATTTGAGGTCTTGACTGAAAAAAAATCTTTGTAAGGGAAGCAACTGTTTGTCTCTGAGGCCTGTCTGACACTGAGCTCGCACTGTCTTAGGAAATTGCACCAGTGAGTGTTTTTTCCCAAATGCTTTAGATTGTTCCTTCACCCATTCCTCAGTCTCCTGACATTCCCTTCTTGACTTGGATCTTCCAATGCAGGAAAACATGTGTATCTCTCTGCAAAAATCGATGGGAACCTTGTGGTGAGACCCTACACTCCGGTTACTAGCGATGACAACAAAGGTTATGTGGATCTTGTGGTCAAGGTAAGACCTTTCTCTTTCAAATTGTTTTAAATTTTCTGTAAAAAAAAAGACAATAAAATAGAATTGTGAATCCTTTTTAAAGAGAGGCCATTGCTGGTGGATGGTGGTCTGGTCTTGGCTGGCATTCAGCTGAATGTGCTTCAGTGTGCTGTGCAAAGAAACTTTCATTTGTTAGCTGCAGTGAGTTACTTTGCTCACTCACAATGTGCTCCCCTCTCTCTCCAGGTCTATTTTAAAGGTGTCCATCCCAAGTTCCCAGAAGGTGGGAAGATGTCTCAATACCTAGAAGATTTGAGTATTGGTGACGTCATTCATTTCAGAGGACCTAGTGGATTGCTTCTGTATGAGGGAAAAGGTGAAGTTTGTCTTTGCAATCCATGCAGTTTCAGCAGAAGGTTATGGGTTCAGACCTCACGTCAGGACTTTCCAGTGCATTACTGGGGGGGAGCACTTCATTGTTGGAGGTGCTATCCTTTACATGAGACATTAAATAAGGTTCCGTCTACCTGTTCATGTGGACATTAAAAATCCCATGGTGTTATTGGAAAGAAGAAGGGAGTTTCTCCTTTCCTGACGAACAATCTCCCAGATAAAATTGGTCATTTATTTCATAGCTATTTATGGGACATTGGTGTGTGCAAATTCGCTGCTGTGTTCATGTACTAACACAATCACTACACTTACAGTAAATCTTGTTAAGTGGTTTGAGAGAACCCGTACCATGAAAGGAGGTATATCAACTGCAAGGTTCATAAGGATTATTATTGTGCCTAAGGTTCAAACCAGTTTCAGAAGTAAAAATTGTTTTTGAAATCTTCCAATAGTTTTTTAAAAGACAATTGTTTTCTGTCTACTTCCTAAAACACCGTCTGAGTTCCAACAGCACCTGCTTCTTCATCCAGTTTTGTTTATTGGAGAGAAGTAGGTGATTTATTTCATCACTAGTGAGTGAGGTCTAGCTTCAGGAAACCACAGCTTGGAGAGCACAAGCGAAACCGGTGACATGTCTGCATATATCAACAATGTCTATAAAAGGCATTGTAACATCCTCTCTGTCTGCAGTGTCCTCTTGTCACCCATACTCTACACTGTGTGATATCTGTTTTTAGTTGTTGAAGATGTGATGAGAGTCTGGTCTATTAATATAGGCTGGGCTGTGACTGTAACCTGAGTAAAGTCAGAGAGCTGTGGTCAGAGAGTCGTTGGTTTCTGACGGCTAGTTGGATTGTTTCTGTATAGTCAAATATTGCTTGGAGCAAATACTCTCGTTACTCCCATCATAGGCAGATGAACCCTTGGATATTAGTTTAGGGATTGAAAGAGACTGCAAACATTGCCTGAGTCATGTTATACCAGTAATGCCATTTGAATGTTTGTTCTACTCTCTGTTTTGCTCCTGCATGCACAGCTTGACTTTAAAGTCACCGAGTGTAAATGATCTGGAGTGCCCAGTGTTTGAGTACGGGGAGGTTAGAGTTGCACTAATACATTAGTAATGTCATGTAAATAGTGGTGCTAGGCTAAAGGAAGGATTGTGTCTTGCTTTACTTCCAAGTAGCATTAAAATACAAATACAACAACCAGTAAATAACTAGGGAATTGAGATGTGTGGTTTGGGCTAGGGTGGGAATCTCAGGTCAATGCCAGTAAAAAGACTCTTGTTCTGTGCTGGGGTTGACTATTTTCATAGTTAGGTATATCCTGCCCCCACCCCCTAAAATGAATGGTCAGTCGCATCCTGTATAGGTTTATAATGATGTTACAATTACAGGTAGAATTGTTTTGAATTGTCTCCACCCTATTAGTACAACAGCTACTTGTAGCATGGAACATGTCTCCATGTTTTTCTTGTGTTTCCTACTTAATCCCACCTGTGGCAGAGTGAGTGGCTTGTTTGTACCCCACACTGCGAGTTCCCCCCTCCCCACACAGTGTACTGGTGAATTTATATTTTTCTTCAGGGTGGGGCGCCTGGGAATGACATTAAATGTATGTGGACAAAAGGTGAAAGGCAAACAGTAGAAAATTCTTCAAACTATAATGTGTTGCAATGTATTTCCCACACCTGGTGACTAGGGAACATCTAGATTTCAAATATGACGATCTTTAATATGATGATGATGATCCTTGCATTTGATATTATACCTTATCAAGTAGTCAAGACACCTCAGAGCACTTCACAGGATATTTTGTAAAAGTGGTGTGACTTTATGTATTGTGCGAGCGAATGTGACAGCCAGTTTGCGCACAGCAATGTCCCACAAATAGCCATGGAGTGAGTGACTAAGCTTATCTGGGGGTATGTTGGCCAGGAAACTGGTATGAACTCCCATCTTGTTTTGAATAGTGCTGTGGGATCTTTGCCGACCCACCCTGGGCTGGGCGGGGCTGACACAGGGACGGGGCTGACAAGTAATCTGTAATTGTAGAATTGTAGGTGGCTCAATTGTGTATTGTGTTTCCTTGTAGGTAACTTTGCCATCCAGCCTGAGAAAAAGTCTCCACCAGAACTCAAGTTTGTCAGGAACCTTGGCATGATTGCCGGTGGAACTGGTGAGTGAGTGAGTGAGTATGAAGACGTAGAGAGGGGAATTAGTTTGAATCTAATTGCAAATTGAATTGACTGAGATAATATTTAGTGGTCCGAGTTACTGCCCTGCATGAAGCGCTATATAAAGGCAAACTGTTGTTGTTTTTGCGGTAATATAAAGTCACGAGAGGGGTGTGGCTGGATTCTGACATTTCTTTGCCAGACATGTCACCCTGGAGCCAGTTCAGCTCACAAGGAGTCCCCGTTTATAATATCAGTAATCTAACTGAGTTTGGGTATGCAACAGCATAGGGAATCCCTTACTCCTGTAGAGTATGGTTTGATATTGCTATCCGCTGCTTTTGTGTGCTCCCACACATTTTCAGTCCTGCCATCAGAATTGCTTTCAACAACAACAACAAGATTCCATTTATAGAGCGCCTTTCACGTCGGGAGGAAGTCCCAATTGGATTGGGTCAGGACCCGAGCATTGGGGAAATGGTCAGGGTGAAGGGAGGGAAGGGAGGGAGCGAGGAGGGGGTAGAGAGTCGAGAGGGGAGCTGAAGGCTCGGTCAAAGAGAAAGGTCTTGAGACCGGCCTTGAAAGAGGAAAGGGAGGAAGCGGCGAAGGCACTGGGGGATAGAGTTCCAGAGCCTCGGCTGAGAGGCTGAAGGCCCGGCCACCGATGGTAGGGCGGTTGGGGCGGGGGACGTGGAGCAGACCGGAGCCAGAGGAACAGAGAGTACGGGCAGGTAGGTAGGGGGATAGTAGGTCAGAGAGGTAGGAGGGAGCGAGGCCGTGAATGACCTTGTAGGTGAGGATGAGGATCTTGAATTCGATCCTCTGGAGGATGGGGAGCAGTGGAGGCGAGCGAGGGCGAGGGTGAGGGCGAGGGCGAGGGCGAGGGTGGGAGTGATGTGGTCACGGTGTCTGGTGCGGGACAGTACACGAGCTGCAGAGTTCTGAATGACCTGCAGTGTGGAGGGAGGTGGCGGGAAGGCCGGCGAGGAGAGAGTTCCCATAGTGCAGCCTTGAGGTGATAAAGGTGTGGACCAGAGTTTCAGCCGCGTGAGGGGTGAGGTAGTGCCGTAGTCTGGCGATATTCCGGAGGTGATGGAAGGCGGTGCCGGTTGTGGTGCGGATATGAGGGAGAAAGGACAGCTCAGGGTCGAACAGAACCCGAGGTTCCTGATGGCTTTGAGAGGTGGAGAGTGCGGCCTTGGATGCTGATGGTGTCAGCGCCTGAGGTGCGGAGGCGCTGACGTGAGCCAATGAGGAGGGCCTCAGTTTTGCGCACATTGAGCTGAAGAAAATTGTCTCTCGTCCAGGACTCGATGTCGGACAGACAGCTGTCAGGACATCGGGGGTCGTGGAGTTGAGGGTAGAGGAGGAAAGGTAGATTTGTGTGTCATCCGCATACATGTGGAAGTTAACCCCATGTCTGCGGATGATGTCAACACAGGGGGAGCATATAGAGGTGAAGACGAGGGGACCGAGGACAGAGCCCTGAGGGATACCGCACAAGACAGTGCGGGGGGTGGAGGAAAAGCCGTTCGTGGAAACTTAGTAATAATCGTGCTTAGTGCTTAGTAATAATCCTTGCATTTTATGTAGCACTTTTCACGTCTTCTAAAATTTCTCAGAATATATTTTAAAGTGAATTGACTGTATATTTGTGGGAGAAATACTTAGCTATTAAGTTGCCAAAGTGTGATCTAAGGTGCAAATTCTCTTTAACAATGCTCGGTGCGTCATTACCCATCTGTGTGTGTGTGTGAGTGGGTTTGTGTGTGGGGGGGTGGGGGAGCTACTGGTCCTGTGTGTGTGTATGAGGGGGTTGCGGGATACTGGCCATGTGTGTGTAAGTGTGTTGTGGATGGGGTGGGGTTAGAGTGATACTGGCTGTGTATGTGAGCAACCCATTTTGCACACAAATGTAGTTAGATTGCAAATCTTTAGTTCCCGATCCAATAAACCCTGTAAATCACTATTGGTAGTCATAATAGTTCCTTCAAAAAAACTTTGGTTACTTCAATCTACATTTGTGGGACACCCCTGGGCGCAATTGCCACTTTTCGCCCACAAAATATACTTGACCTCTCTGCTGCTTTCGACACCGCCGACCACTCTATCCTCATCCACCGCCTCTCACCTCAACCTTCACAACTCTGTTTTTGACTGATTCAGATCGTAACTCTCACACACCTGCACTTCATCTCCACAAACGGCTTCTCCTGCAGCCCCCGGATCATCTTGTGCGGCGTTCCTCTGGGCTCTGTCCTTGGTCCCCTCCTCTTCAATATCTACGTGCTCCTTCTTGGTGACATCATCCGCAGATATGGGATCAACTTCCACATGTATGCGGATGACACCCAACTCTACCTCTCTGCCTCCCCCCCGACTCCAGGACCACTGCTGTCCTGACAGAATGTCTGTCAGACATCAAGTCCTGGATGAGAGCTCACTTTCTTCAGTCAAAAATACTGAGGCTCTCCTGATTAGCTCCCGTCAGCACCTCCTCACCTCAGGCGCCATCCATGGTTGCACACTCCACCTTGCTAAGCCAGACTGGAACCTTGGCATCTTCTTTGACCCTCAACTATCCTTTCTACCCCACATCTGCGTCATGTCCCGCTCTGCCTTCCCTCACCTCTGCAGCATCGCCCGGCTCCGCCACTGTCTCACACCGCAGGCCGCAGAAACCCTCATACACACCTTTATTACATCAAGGCTCGACTATGCAAACTCACTGCTTGTCGGCCTCTCCAACTCCTCCCTCCTCAGGCTGCAGATCATCCAGAACTCTGCAGCCCATGTCCTCTCCCACACTAGGCTCTGAGACCCTATCAACCTCATCCTTTCCCAACTCCACTGGCTTCCCATCACACAGAGGATACAGTTCAAGATCCTGGTCCTCACCTTCAAAGCCCTCCATGGTCTTGCTCCCCCTTCCTCTGTGACCTCCTTACCCCCTACCATCCTGCTCGCTCCCTCCACTCAGCGGGCTCCGGCCTTCTTCATGAGACCCGCCTCGCTCGCCCCACTATCGGCGGGCGGGCCTTTCGCCACTCTACCCCCACCCTCTGGAACTTCATCCTGCAATCCCTCCGCCCCGCTTCCTCCCTTGCCAACTTCAAGACTCATCTCAAGATCCTCCTCTTTGACTGTGCTTTCGATATCGCTGCTTCCCTCCACCCTCCCCAACCCCCAGCTCGGGTCGTAACTCTGTCTGTCCAGCGCCTTGGGACGTCCTCCCAACGTGAAAGACAAATGTAATTTTGTTGTTGTTGTGTACAGTCAATACACTCTACAGTATATTCTGTGAACCGCTTTGACAAGTCTCGAAAACCTGATAAAGCGCTTCATCAAATGTAAGAATTATTATTGTTACTTTGTAAACCTTACTTCAATTTCCACTGCTTAAGTGTTCCAAGGTAATCTCTGTCTTACTCTGTAGGCATCACTCCAATGCTGCAGCTGATCCGGGCAATTATGAAGGATCAGGATGACCCGACACTCTGCTATTTACTGTTTGCAAATCAAGTGAGTAAACTTAACATTCAATTTCAAGATCCTCACATGCATTATAATGGGAATAAAAACAGAAGTCACTGGGAACACTCAGCAGGTCAGGCAGCATCTATGGAGAGAGGGAAGTGGGTTAAAGTTTCAGATGGATGACCTTTTGTCTATATTCCTTAGAGTTGAGAGGGATCAGAATAAGTCATCGACCTGAAACATTAATCCACTTTCCCAGCAACTTCTGGTTTTATTTCAGATTTCCAGCATCTGCAGTATTTTGCCTTTTACATTCTAATAGGATTGTCCTACGTTTGTTTTTAGACTGAAAAAGACATTCTGCTCCGTGATGAATTGGAGGAACTCCAGGCTCAGCATCCCGATCGTTTCAAGCTGTGGTACACTGTGGATAAAGCCCCTGAAGGTACACTCGTAAGGCCCTTTACTTGGCCGTTTCATTAAAATGGTCTACAATGATGTAATTTGGGACCGACTTGTCATAAAATAGCACTGCAATTGACGCTGCACCTTTCATATTCAAACATCTCATAGTGCCTCACAAGTATTGCTGTCAAGTGTAGTGACTATCAACCGATGTCTGCACACAGCCATAAAGTGAACGACTAGTTTTATTTGGGGCCAGGAAACCGGGAGAGAGAAACTCCCTTCTCCTTTTGAAAAGTGCCGTGGTATGTTTACCATCCACATAAACAGGCAGACAGGACCTCAGTTTGATGTTTCATCCAAAGGACGGCACCCGCATCAATGCAGTGCTCCCTGAGGACTACTGGTGTTTCAGCCTAGACCAGGTTGGTCCAACTGGCAGAGTTGGGATGATTTCCTCCGGCCCACGAACACAGTCGCCTTAGGCTTGGTCTGATCGGGCTGGAGAAACAGCAGTGCGAGACAGCAGTTAGCAGCAGAACCTGTCAATCACTTTTGAACCGGTAAAAGGAAATACAGACAGACAAGAGAGTGATACACAGAGAGATACAGAGATACACACAGATACAGAGACACACAGAGGTAGATACCTCATCGCTGGTTGTATTATTGTTTTGAAATGTGCTAAAATGTTTACATTGCCTATTTAAAATTTGCATTGTAATAAAAATATAGTGAAATTAAATAATAGTTACACAAGTTAAAACGTAGGATTTCTAAATGGTTTTTACGGTTATGTTTCTGGAAGGGAAACACGTTTATGCGTCTCACGGATGTTTCTCAAATCTGGCATCCAGCCCTCGGCAGCCATAAGGTTGGACACCCTGGCCTAGACTGAGCTCAGAGACCCAATGTGGGACTTGAATCTACAACCCTCAGATCCAGAGGCTGAGAATGCAGCTGACTGAGCCAGGCTGACTCTGACGTTTGATCCAAGTTCAAGTCTGAATCTTAATATAACTTAGCTTTTCTGGACAGTGGACAAATATTCAGAGTGCACTCAAGACTTTCCTCACTGTATATTAAAATGTGAGCCAAGACATAATTTCCTCATGTTACAAGTATGTTTCAGTGCTTGGTAATATTTATAACCTTGGCTCTTACCAGCCTGCGCCTAATCCTTTCCTGGATTAGCTAACCATGGAGAGAGTGCTCATTTTCCCTTCCAGTGCTCGGGAATTACCATGTGTAGGTGAGGTGCATGGACTCAGTCTGGTTTGCATACTATTAAGCATGGTGATGGACACCCAGCTGACCAAAACACATGTGTCAGACACCCAGCTGACCAAAACATTTTCCAATTACTTTTGTCAGTCTTGAGAAGCAAGTCACGGCTTCCTTTAAAAAAAACTGTGCACCTCACAAATTTTGAAATAATAATCCTTGCATTTGATTCAACACCTTATCACGTCTTCGAGACACCTCCAAAAGCTTCACAGAATATACTGTAAAGTGATTTGACTGTATATTTTGTGGGCGTAAACGCGGCAGCCAAGGTATTTGCACTCAATGTAATTTCTACATTTCAGGCTGGGATTTCAGTGAAGGTTTTGTGAACTCTGACATGATGAAGGAGAACCTGCCTGCCCCTGGAGACAACACACTGGTCCTCATGTGTGGCCCACCTCCCATGATCCAGTTCGCCTGCAGCCCCAACCTGGACAAGCTCGGCTATCCACAGGGAATGCGCTATACCTACTAAGATGGCGCAGGGGGGGGCAGGGGCAGGGGAGCATTGGTTTGAAAATGTAAAGGAAGTATTTGCACTTCAAATTATTCATTAGTCTGACTGACACTAATGAAATCTGTTGAATTATATGTGCACTTAATGCTTATGCTTTCAGCTATATGGATTCAATATTTATGTCTATTAAAATGTGTGTATTTAATGTACGATTCAGTATAGGATTGAGATGGTTATGTACATGTTTTAGAAGTTTGAATGTTTGGGTGCAACAACTCCCCGAAAGTTGGTCGTCTTTTTCTACAGAAAGTTTTCTGGAGGCAAATTGCTCAATGAAATCTGTCCAAGCCAACTATTTGCTGGAGATTGTATAACATGCTGAATATATAAGCTTTCACCACTTTAAACCATTTAAATCTGTCAATTTTTTATATGCACTTCAAACCTTAATCCTCCACTCGCTGTTTTTCACATGGCTCCACCACCTTGGCTTCAGTGGTATTTGCAGCCTCGAGATGCAGGATAGCATTGTAAACCAGTGTCTACTCTGAACAAACCTCCCGGTAATTAGAACTAGTTGCCTTTCTCACTCTTAAGTCCATAAGTGTATCTGGTGAGTGGATGGGTGGAAGGGGGGGCGCGGAGAACTCAAGTTGCTCTGGAGTCCTGAGGTTGAAGCTCAAGCACTCATACAGCAGTGATAGGAGATTTATATGTACACCTGTCATGTTAACCTATTAATTCACAATTTTTTTTGAAAAGCACCAAATATTCTAGGGGAGATACTATTCACGGGATTTTACAGTGAAATAATGTTGTCTGGATTTAATTTGAAAGCTGCCATTGATGTGAGTCTTTCCATTATGCAGACTTAGCATTACGTCTTGTGTGATTTGGGTGTTTTACAGTGCCTGTCTTGAGTCATTTACAGCCTTAGCTGGAGTGTTTCCACAATGAGCACATGTTGTAAAGCTTACCAGCATTATTTTGTGACTTAAGAAAATATTTTGGATGATTTACTTTGTAAGCAAGTACTCAAAAAGAATTTGTATCTTGTTCTGCATTGTATCTTAGTTTCATTTCATTTTAATTTACTGGGTTGTAGAACTTTAAATCACTTGAATTTCATGGATTTGTACTCTAGTCCTCAGTGTTTGGAAAAACAGTGACCCATCCAAATGCTCTAATGCCTGGTTATATTGTGCTTTAATGACAGTTTACCTGGATTACAAGCTATTTCTGTGATGTGCAGCACAGTTTGTGAAAAAAAAGATGGAGCCTGGTTACATTAAGGTGTGATTTTGCCAGCACCATGGTTCACATTGCTATGGTATGAATTCAGCCACTACATATAGTATTCCAATTCTGATTGGAAATAAAAAAATCGGTCATGCACTCTATGGCAGTTTGTGGGTCATTGCCGTGTGCAAAATGTCTGCTGTGTTTCGCCCACAAATAAAGTCAGTCCACTTTAGAGTAGGAATGTACTTCTGTGAAAGTGCTTTGAAACGTCTCAACAATGTGATAAGACGCTGTATCTAATGCAAGAATGATTATTATTATATAACTGTTCCTTTCAAAGTTCCTGGGCAGTCTTTAAGGGTCCACATAATACTATAAAGAGTTGGTTAGACAGCAAGATGAGCTCTGTATGTTATTGCCAGCTCTGCCTATTCTGATTAGCTACACGTTAATCTCAATACCGATGGAAAAGCTGCCATTTTCAGCAGTACCAATTGGACTTGTATAGTGAACACCTTAAATCACATCTCCCCAAACTACTTGAGTTCCATCCTAGTGTATTGTCATTTCAGCACATTACAAGCCAGGCAATGAGACAATAAACAGATCTATTTACAAATTTGAATGTTGAAATAATCATTCACAGGTATGGTCTTGCAAATTTTTTTNCAGTTAACCGCGATCAAACACCAAATAATTCTGATTTGTGTTCTTGAAATGCAAGCTGATATTGCAAAGGAGGGAACTAAATCATTTTGGACAATTCTGTATATTGTATTGCTTTGGATCTTCAGATTGTATTTTGAAGTTTATAGCATTAAATATGGTGATTTAAACAATTGAGTTTCATTTATCACAACTTGAGCAGTTTGTGAGGCCGAGAGGAACAATGCCCGTTTCCGCAAAGGTAAGTACTTTTTTAAGCTCTTGTGTTGAGTTCAATTTATTCTAGGCCTGCACACATCACACTAACGGGCTGTAAAGAACTAAAGAGACTCTGTAGCTTTGATGAAGAAAAATCTTTTTAAGAGAAATTAAAAGATTTTATTTCTGGAGTGCACAAGAGGATTATAGATTTCTTGTAGTAAAACCTATGCTCTCTGTTAGACCTGTTCACATGCTCTTCACTGAACACTAGATGTTAACGTTTACTTAAAAAAAACACTTGCATCAATAGAGCGCTGTTTACGAGGGGTGGCGTCTTGGAGAGCTGAAGGTGCGGTGTATTCAATTTTTGATGTCAAGTACTGCCATCAAATATAATACTTGCATTTGATATAGCACCTTATCACATCGTTGAGACATTTCAAAGCCCATTACAGAATATACAGCATTATAAAGTGGATTGGCTGTATATTTTGCGGGCAAAGTAGTTAATGTTTGTACAGCAGCCAACAAATTGAATAGGTGCGAATCTAAGGTGTGTTGATTCAACACATTTTGTTCATTTCATCTGGATCCTAAAAGCCACCAGGTTTCTGTAACTTGTGTGTGCAGTGAGTTATCGCTGGTGTATACCTAATGACATCATCCATGACCTATAAAAATGGAATCTGTGTGCCTGTATGTGTACTTATATGTACACATGTCTTATACCAAAAGTTTAACCTGCATTGGGACATTGGTGTCCTTGAAGGGAGACGAGAATGACCGCAGTGCCCTTAAAAGAACATTGGCCAAGAAAGTGTCCACCACAACCCCACACACCGATACAAATTGGAAAGGCCGTCCCTTGTATCTTACACAGTCAATACCTTCAAAGTGGCTTCTCTCCCCGTGCAGAACCATAATTCTGCACTTGGGTGCTGGACAGAAGTCCTTGGCTGAAAATGTCACACACAACGCCCCGTTTCTCCGCTGGGAGCGGCATTGCCTGGCTCTGCCCCATCCTGCACAACACAACACAAAACCAAATAACATCCGTGGTTGTTAATGAGTTAAAAATATCCTGACCAACCTTTGGTTATTCTTTATTAAAAAATAATAATAATCCTTGCATTTGCATTTGATACCCGCTCTGCCTTCCCTCACCTCCGTAACATCGCCCGACTCCGCCACTACCTCACCCCTCAGGTCACTGAAACTCTTGTTCATGCCTTCATCACCTCCAGGCTCGACTATGCAAATGCCCTGTGTGTTGGCCTTCACAACTCCTCCCCCACAGGCTGCAGATGATCTAAAACTCTGCAGCCCGTGTCCTCTCCCGCACCAAACTCCATGACCCCATCTCCCCCAATCTCGCCCGACTCCACTGGCCCTATCCTTCGGAGGATCCAGTTCAAGATCCTGGTCCTCACCTACAAAGCCCTCCATGGCCTCGCCCCACCCCACCTCTGCGACCTCCTAACCCCCTACAAACCCGCCCGTTCCCTCCGCTCAGTCGGCTCTGGCTGATGAACACACAACCGTCTGACTCAGAGGCGAGAGCACTACCACCGTGCCAGGATAACATACTTCAGTTAATAAACTTTGTTCCAAGGAAGATTATGAAAATACATATGAATCATTTATGTGCGACAATACCAGGGACAATGTAAGTCCATGGGTGCACGAGGCAGATTCTCAATGACTTCCTGATGAAGACACTAAAACAGATGGCGATTTCCTTATTATTTAGCCTGATGTTAAACCAACTTTTACTCACACAATGTGGATATCCTCATTCCCCAACCCAACACAGGTCCCAGAAAGCGTCAGGCTTTAGGATAACTAAGTGCTTCCATCAAACAGTACTCCGAATAGTCAGGTGATCGAACAGTACATCACAAACACAGTCATGTGTTGAACCTGTTGGGGAGGTATGTAAACCTGCAGCTGGCAGTGCTCCGTTGGGGTTGTTGGTGTGAGTTCAGCATTTCTGATGAATTCCAATATAATTTACATTTGTCCAACGCCTTTCACGTGGGGAGAACATCTCAAAACACTTGACAATGATTTCCGGGCACTCGAGCTGAGGGTGGGAGTTGGAGGAGGGAGGAGGAGAAAGTGCAGTCAAACAGATATAATAATAATAATACTTGCAGAAGGCAAAGGACTACAGATGCTGGAAATCTGGTATCAACACAGAAGTTGCTGGGAACACACAGCAGGTCAGGCATCATCCATGGAGACAGGAAAATGAGGTAACATTTCAGGCCAACGACCTTTCATCAGAACTCAATCCTTGATTTGATGTAGAGCCTTATCAAGTCATTGAGACATCTCAAAGTGCTTCACAAGATATATTATAAAGTGAATTGACTGTATTTTGTGGACGAAACGCAGCAGCCAATTGCGCACAGCAGTGTCCCCCAAACAGTTGTGGATTGAGTGACCAAATTATTAGTTTCCTTACTTCACTCACGTCTGTTTACCTGTCAGTAAGTACAAACTTGGTTGTTAGTCGATCGTCAGTAATCCGGGAGTAATAATCCCTCCAATAAAAAATAATAATTGGCTGCCGTGTTTCATCCACAAAATACACAGTCAATCCACTTGGCAGTATGTCCTGTGAAGCGCTTTGAGACACCTTGAAGACGTGGTACGGCGCTGTATGAAATGCAAGGATTATTAGCAGTAGTAGTAGGAGTATTATTTCAGATTTATCAGCAACTGCGGTATTTTGACTTTTTTGGGGCAGGTTTCGGCGTTGCCTTTCGCGTGAAAAAAACACCTTCGAGTGAGTGGGCGCCTAAATTTAACGATGCAAACCCCCACTTCCCCCTCCCCCCCCCCTTTGAAGACCTCCCCTTCCACAGTTCAGGTTGGGAAGCACTTGCTCCAAATCAGCCCCTCAACAGCTGCCCAGACAGAACGACATTGGGCTACTTTTGGGGCTAGTATTGGGCTACTTTTAGGGGCTAGTATTGGGCTACTTTTGGGCTACAACCTCCGGCCGCGCTCACCGGAAGCTACGTATTGGAGCGGAAGTGATGGTGAGGCGGCGGCCTATGGCCGATGGCGGCGCGGGTCCGAGTGACGTTTAAACTGAATGAGAGGCCGTCCGTCTGTCTGTCCGCCGCGGGCAGTGAGGGCCCGAGCGGGTGATGGCGGCGCCCGGCCTCCCGCTGCTGGTCTTTGAGGAGCCTTTCCGCGGCTTCCTGTCCGCTCTGGCCCTCGGCCCGGCGGGGGCCGTTACCGCATTCCGCCTCCTGCAGCACCGCCCGCCCCGGGGACAGGGGCAACCCCAGGCCCGGGCCCAACCCCAGGCCCAGGCCCGGGCCCAACCCCAGGCCCAACCCCAGGCCCGGGCCCAACCCCGGGCCCAGCCTCAGCCCCAACCCCAGGCCCAACCCCAGGCCCAGCCTCAGCCCCAACACCAGGCTCAGGTCCGGGCCCAACCCCAGGCCCAGGCCCAGGCCCGGGCCCAGCCCGGGGCAGAGCAGCCTCTCCGCTGGCGACGCTTTGTGGACACCCTGTGCCGCCCCGAACCGTCCCTGGAGGGCGGTCGGCAGCAGCTCACACTGTAAGATTGTTTTACTGCCCCCAAACTGTATCAGATAATAACAGCAACAGCTCCGCGTTTGCTTATCAACAGTAATAATAAGCCTCGCGCTTGGTGCAACGCCTTATCACTGAGACGTCTGAAAGTGCTTCAAAGGCTTCGTGCGTGAAAGTCTGAAGTGCAGTGACTGTGTATTCTGTGGGTGAAGCGTAGCAGTCAGGTGCGCACAGCAGTGTCCCACAAACAGCCAGGAAGTGAGCGCAATTTATTTGTGGGATTGTCAGCCAGGACACCGGGAGAAACTTCCTTCTCTTGTCGAACAGTGCCTTGGGAAAACGTTAGGCAAGTTTCCTTACTCTGTGTTTATTTAGCATTAAGTAGGAACCCGGTTGTTAGTCGATCGGCGGATTGCTTTTCCAGAGGTAATAATCCCTTCAAAAGGAATAAATAAAAAATAATAATTTGGTCACTCGATCCACGACTGTTTGTGGGACACCGCTGTGCACAATTGGCTGCCGCATTTCACCCACAAAATATATCGATTCACTTTACAGTGTATTGTGTGAATCGCTTTGAGATGTCTCAAAGATATAATAACATGCTATATCAAATGCAAGGATTATTATTATTTTTAACGTTCACCTGAACAGGCAGATAACAAGATTCTGATAACAAGATGATACCTGAACGTATCATCTTGTTATCAGAATCTAATGTATTGTGATATAAATTGCTTCACCATCAGCAGTTTACTAACAGTAACTCTAATAACCATGCTGTCCTTTTCCCCCAGAAAGCCTTTGCTTTATCTACTACCAGTTGTTGTTAGAAGAAACCTCTTATCTTTTCTTCATCTGGCCCACAACATGGTCCCCAAAGACTGTCTCCAGCGTCTTATCGTGCAGTTTAAGCAGAGCCCTGATGCTGATCTCTGGACACGAGCATTAATGGGTGTCCTGGAACAGGACTTAGAAGATGGTCTGTGCCATTTCTCCTCTGTTCCTCTATCAGACCAGTCTCAGCAGCAGCTGAAATCTCTGTGTCAGAATATAGCAGGGTTTTCCCAAGCCCAAGAACAGCCTGAGAGAAAGTTAGGATGGGACATGGGGCAACAGCACAGGAACACCGGTAATGAATTCCCTGAGGATAATACCAACTGCAGAACAACCTTAATCCTAAGCTCCAAGAAACGTAAAAACTCGGCTTGTGAAAGAGATGCTTTGGAAGACGATGAACAAAATATTGCGAAGAAAATGAAAGTGACACGCGATCCTGCTAATCTCAACGATGATGAGAACAGGGATCTGACCTCAGTGACTGAGCAAGCTGAAAAGATCAATCTTAAAGGAAACAAGGAGAAGTCAGACACCGCTGAGGTGGAACCCAGCACATTGCCAAACCCAGAGGTCACCCTAGATTTGCCAGAATTCATAAAGGTAATTTTTTTATTCAGTCCTTTGGTTGCTGAGTTTAATAGACTGTCTCCTCTAAGCCAGACTAGCAGCTTCCTGCCCATCAACTATCATTGTTCATATTTTATTTTAATAAAATAGAGAGAAAAGCAAAAGAACGTCAACGATAACTTGCATTTATATAGCACCCTTCGCGCAGAGTAGAGTTTCGGAGTGCTTAACAGTTGCGGAGCCTGATGCCAAGGTGGGAGGTGACCCTAAACACGGTCGCAGAGGAAGATCTTCAGGCGTGATCTGAAAATGGGGAAGGAGGGGGCAAGGCAGAGGGATTGAAGGGGAAAGTTGCAAAGTTCCAAAGGAGCTTTTTTACTGCACAAGATTAGCCTCATTACATTCTGAGTGAACCGCCTAAGTGAAATCTGTACAATATCACGTGTGTATAATTCATTTCTCCATCATTAATCTGTTTCAAATGTTCAAACTTCAACTGTTGTTGATTCAAAATTTAGCTGTTCAAACGGTCTCAATTAATTTTTTATGTTACCTGAATAAATCTAATTCTTTTAAGCATAAGGATGGGTCTCATTAGCAACTTTCCCTTTTAAAAACATAATAATAATAATATTCCTTACATTTGGTACAGCTTTCATGTCAGGAGCGTGCTTCAAAGCACTTCACAGGATAGCGGAATGAAAGTGGTTTAAACAAACTAGGACTCTTCAGTGTTAAAACGAGACACCTCAGAGGGGAGCTTATAGAAGAGTGTAAGATTCACATTATAATTTACACCTATATAGTGTTTTTCACATTGGGAGGATGTCTTCACACAGCACCAGAGTTGGGGGGGAAGATGACCCAAAGCGAAATAGAGATAAATGGGATTGAGAAAGTAAATTCAGAATACTTTGGGATGCACCAAGACAGCAGAAGCAGAGGACATAGGTTCACGTTTGTAAAAGCTAATATCAGGACAGACCCCAGAAAGTGTTCAGTGACAGTTTGAGGCCAGAACACTGGGACCCAATTAGAAAAACAGCTCGATGCTGTGATGGGAGGATGGTAAGATGGCTGTTCTGCAGACAATAGAGCAGATGGGCGGAAGGGTGTTCTTCATCGACCCTCACTTGTGACATTGTGTGACAACATTAGATCCTGGGATGGGATAAATAAGGAATAGTATGGAGTGATTTAAATGTACATGAGGTAGCGAGGACTTGGTAATATTCTGGTTGATGGAATACTTTACAGATTGGGCCTTGCTTTTTGATACCTGTGAATAGGTTTCCTAAAAAATTGGCTTTTAGCCCTGTTAACTGCTGCATTTTGTTCTTGTTTAACAGGCATCTGTACCCAGACTCAGGGAGATCTTTGAGGCAGATTCAGACGTAAGTGTTTTTCTTGGGGGATTGCTATGAAAGAATTTCTACAGAAAAATAACACTCTTTAGTAAACTATTGATTCAAACTATAGAAAGCCAATGGCTCTTTAATGTTTACATGTTTCCAGTATTGACCTTGAAATTGCATGATTTTTCATTCAGTAATTCTTGCTCTGCTCTCTACATATTAGTATCAAACAGGAGAGTATCAGTTTGGCAATTGCTATCAGCAATATTTGATCAAATTCTGTTTTTAGAGAAGAATGTTAAGTGCTAGAATATGCTAGTTACACAATGTACAGTGTGTAATATAAGAATATTGCATTTGATAGAGCAGATTTTACATCAAACTATCTCAAAAGCTTTTCCCAAGTAATCGCCTTCCAGTATTGTGACTGTGTATTTGTAGACAGACATGGCAGCCGGTTTCCTCACAGCAACGTCCCACAAACATCCTTGAGTTGAATGATTGATTTACCTGAGGCATTGTCGGCCAAAGCACCAGGAGAAACTCCCTTTTGAGTAATATTATGTGATCTTTAACGTCCATTTGAACAGGCCGACATATTTAAAAACGCGGTGGATGGGTATTTGAGGAGGACGGGTTTGCAGGGTTATGGGGAAAGGGCTTATCAACATCCTTCACAGCTGATCGGACTATTGGGAATTTTGAAAGGACTTCTGACTACTCTTCCCTTTATGTCCTCAACAACAACAACAACTTGTATTTATATAGACCTTCAAGTGGAGTAGTGTCTTGGGAGCACTTAACTGTTGTTCTGACCCAACTGTACAGTCCTGACCTAACTGTCCAGCGCCTTGGGACATCCTCCCGACGTGAAAGGCGCTCAATAAATGGAATCTTGTTGTTGTGATTTAAGAAATCAGAAAGGCAGATATAAAACTCATTCCATTTATAAATGATTTTTATTCAATAATATTTATCTCTGTTCCTTTTTATTAAAGCAGTCAGAAGCACCTCAAGAACTAAATATCCTGAATGAATGTGACCCCATCCAGGTATGTATGTGTGTGTGTGTGTGTGTGCGGGGAGGGGGGGTGGGGGCTTATATGTGTGTTACTGTTGAGCCTCATTGTTACAAATTGTAGCTGAAATTAACACCATAAGACAGAATGCAATGCATTAAAGCCAGTATGGACCCACCTTTTGACTGCTGAGGACCGGATAATAATAATAATAATAATAATAATCAATGCATTTGATAATCCTTATCAACATCTCAAAGCGCTTCACAGAATATACTGTAAAGTGAATTGACCGTATATTTGTGGGCAAAACTTGGCAGCCAATTGCGCACAGCAATGTCCCACAAACAGTCGTGGATTGAGTGACAAAATATTTTTTTAAGGCGTTATTACCCCTGAAAAAGCGATCCGCCAATTGACTATCAACCGGGTTCATACTTACTTGGTAGATAAACAGAAGCATGTGGAGTAAGGAAACTGGCACAACATTTTGCCCTGCCCGGGAATCAAACGCAGGCTCTCTCGCTTGCGAGGCGAGTGCTCTAACCACTAAACTACAGAAAGCTCATTCAATTTGGTTTTATGTTGAACAGCTGAGGTATAAATCAGCCCACACTTGCCCAATCCCTCGACTCGTTTGATGAGTAAAATGTTCACTAACTGGTTTATTTCTTGCTTTCCCTTCAGCTTGAGAAGATGTGTTCACTGCTGTGCCTGTCTGACTTTCCAGAACAACTGCTGCCCCAGGTCTGCAGCAGACTGCTGTCAATGGCGTCTGACCTTAGTTACAGCAATGCTGCAGTGCTTGCACGCAACCTCTTTTTGACCAGGGTATGATTATATTATTACTAGAATCCTGAATAATGTTCCTTGTGTTTGGTATAGCGCCTTATCATGTCGTCAAGACATCTCAAAAGGCTTCACAAGATTTAATGTAAAATGTGATTTGACTGTGTTTTGTGGACAAAATGTGGCAACCAGTTGCACACAGCAATGTCCCCCAAACAGCCATGAAACGAGTGACCCATTTTATTTTGGGGATGGTTGGCCAGGATAGTGGATATTTGCAATCTGATCCCGTCGCTCCTCCAGCGCCATTTAAGATTTCTGAATACAATACAATTTACATGTGTGTAGTTAGTGCCTTTCACACCAGGAGGACATTTCAAAGCAAGTCTAACTATAATCTAACTACACTTGTCTATGTTTGTAGATTCTCTCGCTGACGGAGCCTGCCTCACGCTTTCTAACAACTGCCATCACCTCGTTCTGCAGGACGTACACTCGGCCATGTTGTACTGCTGTGATCGGACCCGTCCTTCAAACTCCACACGCAGGTCAGGGGCTGCCCTCTTCCTGGAACTCTCTCCCTCCCTCCAACTCCCTCCCTCCGTCGAACTCCCTCCCTCCAACTCTCGCCCTCCCTCCAACTCCCACGTGAACAATAATCACTTTGTAGCTACTGGAGAGCAATCAGACCCCAGCAAGAGGTTTCCAGTGCAGAGAGACCAGACCAGGGCTAGAGAGGGCAGGGGCAGACAGAGAGGCCAGACTAGGGGTGCAGAGAGAGAGGCCAGATCAGGGGCAGAGAGAGAGAGGCCAGACCTGGAGCAGAGAGAGAGAGGCCAGACCAGGGGCAGAGAGAGAGAGAGGCCAGACCAGGGGCAGAGAGAGAGGCCAGACCAAGGTCAGAGAGAGAGAGAGGCCAGACCAGGGGCAGAGAGAGAGAGGCCAAACCAAGGGCATATTCTTCGCCAGTGAGTGGAAAATTCGAAAAAAATAATTGGACACACCAGAAAAAAGTAAGCATACTTTGGACTGCATTTGATGAAGCTCAAACCAGACAAATCTAATAAAATTGTAACAAAATCTAGATTGAGTTAAAATGTGTTGGTGTGTAATTTTAGTGGCACTAATTGTAATATTTGCGGGTTGTTTACAGGGAATGTTCAGATGGAGCTCATCTGCAGACTCACACAGGATAGCCTGGAACCAGAGCATCTAACACTGATTTTTGGGTGTGTCTTACTCAGAGCTTTACCTCATAATAATCCCTCAAGAAAGAAAAAAAAACTTCAATCCACGACTGTTTGTGGGACACTGCTGTTTGACATTATCTGCTGCGTTTCGCCCACAAACATACGGTCAATTCACTTTACAGTATATTCTGTGAAGCGCTTTTGAGACGTCGAGAAGACATGAAAAGTGCTGTATCAAATGCAAGGATTATTATTACAGTATAGAGCTCAGGCAGAAATCAATCCTTTGTTGTGTTCTGATAATCGGGTTTAACTCTACACGTTAGTCTCGCTTGTTAAACCCAATTATCACGACTGGCCATGCAAGAATGTGTTATTAAACTGACAATCTTAGTGACCTGAGGGAGGAATAATTCTTTTCAGTAAATGTGCAAATGTTCTTAAAAGAACAATGGGAAAATGAGGAGGTCACTTGGGAAAGAGCAAAAATTGAAAAGGGGAACGAAAGTGCAATTAATAATTGGGTTTATATCTACGTCCCCTTTTGGGAATTCAAATATATGACATTTTTTTGCAGATTCAAAGTGCTAATTATCCTTGAATCCATTAAGAAACATAGCATCTCTCACTTCTTGGTATTAACAGAAGTCTCCATTAGTTTTCAAGATTGAAATGATTTTACTTATTTTAATAACTTGGTCACTCAATCTATGACTGTTTGTGGGACGCTGCTGTGCGCAATTAGCTGCCGCATTTCACCCACAAAATAATTCACTTTACAATATATTCTGTGAAGCACTTTGAGATGTCTCAACAAATTGATAAGGTACTATATCAAATGCAAGGATTATATAAAACGGATTGCTGGGCTGAGGACCTTAAAAGCAGAATCGAAACATTTAAAAGGCTGAACTGTTGAGGAGAGTTTTTGCTTTGTTTACCTTTATAAAATTCCTCTACCAGTATTGTCATGTATTTGTTGTTTTAACCAAACTAACTCCTGCGACGTACTGTGCTGTATCTTCAGGCAGATCCTGCTCAGCTCTTGGAGTGAAGAAACTCTCTCTGTGGTACATTCGCTGCTGGAGGGGAAGGTGAGCGATGGCGTTGAGAGCAGTGTGGTGTTGGAGATGGAAATAAAGCTGTTTTCAATTACATTTCTGTAGCATTCCTGAGGCCCTTCCACCTTGTCACCCATTCCCCGACTAAAGGGAACAGTTTTGCCCCTTCTGTATCTTAAACCCCTGTATTGTAGCCCATCTTCTCTTAACAGTTTTACATTTCAAATAAGTGTATTAATTTGGGGTCTGTTAAACTTTTGAAGGGATTATTTCAAAAGCCTCATCCTTTAGATCCTTCTAATGTTGAGATTTCGTGTTCAATGCTTATATCCACTACGGCATCTTTGAAACTTAGTTATGTTGTTTAAATGTTTCTTGTGGTTTTTTTTTTACAGGTAGAAGTAACATCTGAGCTGTTTGACCAGTTTGTTCACAAGTTAAGTCAACAGGCAGGGAGGTTCAGCCAATCCATGAAGTACGCAAGAATGGTACTCGCTGTGCTGACAAAGTACCAGATACACGTGAGTCGTGTGTGTGGTGGGGGCTGTGTGTGTATATGAGGGATTCAGTGTATGGGGAGTGGGGGGGTCATTGTGTGGATGTGGAGGGGGGGGGGTGCAGTTTGAAGTGAAGCAGAGCTCCACCCTATCTTCTAATCAATGCTTTTTAAGTAAAATTGTGAATTTAAGGTATATTGAAATGATATCTGAATATTTTTACCAAATTCCTTTTAAATGTTAAATATTGCTGCTTTTATTGGTGCCTTTTAAGCCCCTTTTATTATTCTGAACTGTGTCGATGTTTCTTTGCAGATAGTTTGTATATCAAGCCCCCTTTGTGTGACATGAAGGTATTTATTTTTATGCATCTCCAGATAACAGAAACTCATAAAAACACCCTGTCCTGTGCTCTGACACTGCACGACACGTTTCTGAAGAAGTCCATACAGGCAGCATTGAAGCGCATTATTACGTGAGCTGCTCTTTGGGGGACAGTGGATGTTGAAAGAAAGATGGCCTTGTTAGGATCAACAACACAACAAACTTAGGTCTCAGCTACAAATAATTACCTTTTAAGGGTTAAAAATGTCATGTGGAGAGTGGCTAACGGAACAGATTCGAGACAAGGTCTAAGTTGTGGGTTGCACACGCAATGCCTATAAGCCCATGGGAGGAATCACAGCGGCCATCAACACAAAGGCACCTGTAATTCTCTCTTTACATGGTTTGCACAAACCATAAAACCAATGCCTCAGTAGTTACTCTCCACCAAGCACACAAGTGGTGGATACTCTACTACACAAGACTGCGCCTGAGCTGACAATTTGTGAAGTTTTATTTAAACCTTGTGTTTTGAAAACGGTGAGAGAGAGGCATTGAAACATGGCGCTTGGTGTGCGAGGGAAAAGAGCTTGGATTCAGGCAGGTCTGCAATACTACAGATCACAGCTGGTGACAAGAGCAGCAGGACTTGGGAGGGACACTCAGCTCCTGATAACTCTGCAAGCAAAAGCCCTCACGGGTAGATAAACAGCAGGAAAGCTCGTCAGACAGTGCTCCCAATGGCAAGCTATGCAAGTATCTGGTTAAATGCCAGTAGTACCAATGCACACTGGGGTCCCCAAGCCTTGGCAACCTGCTCCTAATCCTTTCCAGAATTAGGCAAGCAGTGCATTCCATTGCTGACCTGGAAATTTCCATGTGCCAGTGAGACTCAGTCTGGTTTGGATACTCTCAAACATAATAATAGGTTTCTGCATTTATTAGACAACCAGCTGATCAAAATAATACTGGAGGCAACAATGTAAATGGCATTGAATTATTACAAGGTGCTGCTCCCAGTGTTTAAACCTGAGCTGTTGTCTAACATCAGAGAAGGAACCACATTAATATTTAATAAAATGAGATGTTAGTAAAATGATCAAGAAGACTCCAAGTTAGGTTGCAGACTATGTAAAATGGAATGTATTAAAGTGCTGTGACCTGAGCACAGCTGAAACAAAACTGATGTATTTGGGGGGTCATTTTACTTTTATCCCTACTTAAAACCTACAGCACAGGCGGCTATTCAGCCAATTAAATCCCCACCAGCTCAAAACAAGGAGATCAATTGAATTCTACCATCTGCCCATCCCTATTATCCCTTCAAGCCTAACTCTCCTGCCTGTCTACTCCCCTCTTAAAAGCTATAATGTATTCTGCCCCCACTAGCCTTGGCAGAACATTCCCCATCCAAACTCTCCAGGTGAAAATAATTCTTAAGTGCTTTTGGTTGGAGACAAAGTTTAGATATTTCAATTATAATTCAACGCATTTAATAGTATCTTCTGTCAAAAGCACTTCACTGGATGTTCTCTAAAGTGGTGTGACTGTGGACAAAACACTGGTAGCCATTGGCACAAACGATGTCTCACAATGAGCCATAGAGCGAGTGGACAATTTTATCTGGACATTGTTGGCCAGGATAATAACCAATATTGATGAAAAAATTAAAGAATTTAAGCTTCAAATGTCAACCGAATTATATAAATCGATTTTCAATAGGAAGTAAAAGTTCAAGAACTGAACACTCAAATAATTCAGAAAACTTTATTTGGCAGATCATTAGCACAGAACATTTTAAAAAGTTCCCTCACATACATTAATTGTTAGGTCCCTTGAGTTAGTTACAAATGTTATCAAACCCCCACTGATTCCCATTTTGATACCTATTTACACCAAATCGTTAGCAGCAGATTCAAGGAGGCAAACTTGACCCATTACCTTTGTAGTGCAGTTCCAATATTCAGCCTCCTTTACCTGTGTCTGTGATGGAATAATCCAGTCTCACTAACAAGAACTGTACAAACAGCAAAGAGGTACAATTGTCATCAATCAATTCACAACCATAATATAAAGTTCAGTGAATTGCTTTACCCCAGAAACGTGTGAAAGTTAAAATTCCATAAATTACATTAAATTAATCAATTTTTGAAAGCCAACACCAACCACATGCGTTGCAAGATCCAGTCATAGGAAATACAGTAGCTTTTAAGGCATCACAATATAACCAGTCAAAATAACTGTTTACTCACATCCAGTACATGTGTAAACAGATTTAGGTTAGTTATTTCACTGTATGACATGGCCTGCTATCTGCAGCAACACTGCAGAAAACAAGCGTCATCAATATTCTGCCTGCTGCGTATAGAGTAGCACTGCTCCACACAGATCTCTCGTGAATCACACACAATTTGGTCTCTTCTAATCATCATTGAGATCGGAGAGGTCTGAATCGAGGAGGTCGTACTGCAACTCTGCAAAGTGCTCAAACAGTGAGTCACTGAAGGAAAGAATGCCGAGAAGACGAAGAGTGTTGTCCACATAATCATCATCATAGTCATCATCGTCATCCTCGTAATCTTCCCAGAAACTCAATGGAGGCTGTGAACAGGCAGCAACACAAATTACAATGTTAAATAATTGATTAAACTAGAGTTGATTAAACAAATAGCAGCAACTTATGATCATGTGATTCTTAGCTTTCTCTTAGATCTGCTCGCTCCAGAAAACATAATCACGCAAATGGCTTCTCTAGAAGCAGCATTTCAACGTCAGACTTTCATTCCCTGTTGGGAACAGACATTAGCTGAGTTTATTATAGAGAAAAACAGGCCAAGACAGTAAACGCCAGAAGACTGTTCCAGAACAAAGCCTGAAGCTCTAATGGCCAGGAATTACAACCACTTCGTCAGAAAATGAAATGGTTTCACACACTTAACTGCTAAGCACCACAAGTGTTTAAATTATAAAAAGGTGAATGCTTGGTGATAAGTCAGAAATGTTTTGAATCGAAGAGTCAGTTTGTGCCAAATGTTGATAACAACCTACACTTTATACAGCACTCTCAATGCAGGAACGCTCAACATGAGTTAGGTGACTGACATTTTAATTAGAAAACTAGAATTTTGCACATATTTACTGTTCAAATAGGAATTGTCTGCTGCTAATCAAGGCTTGGATCCTTATTTTAAAAATTAAAGCAAGGTAACAACATAAATGGAGAAAACCTTTGGGCTATTGGTATTATTGAAAGAATTTTCCAGCAAATTTAACTTAACTGAAAAAAAACACCAAACACGCACAAGTGCATCATCTTAAAATATATTCCTGTAGGGGAAATGTTTAAGTGATCAAATATTAGTTTTAAGTCAGGTTCATATCTTTTCATAAAATGTTATTATAAATATTCAACATACTATGAGTGTTAGCTAAAATAAAATTTAACAGAGAACAGCAAGCATTCATTATGAAATATTTACAGTTTAAGCAGTCTTAATGGAAGAAGCAAAGTTCCTCTCAAATCATCCCCAGAGGACAAGGAAGAAGGTAATCAGAGGTTATATAACTAACAGTATCAACATACACTGAGGCCGGCCGGGGAGGAGGATTTTTTTTAGTGCTTGTAGGTCTGTTAGGAAGATTCAGGATTCTACTTTTTGCGTCTGTTAAACAGTGCCCTGGCCACATCTGCCTGTTTTTGTAACAGGTTCCCAGGCAGTTTATCCTGTACCATGGTCAACATTTGCAGGTTCACCATACTTCCCGAGGGGGCACATGGGGATATGTAGCATCAGACAAGATTAAAGTTGGATGAAAAAAGATCCTTCTGATCGTATCCTGAGGAGGAAAGGAGTTCATCTCTCACTGAACTCAGAGTCTGTGGTTTAATCGATTCACAGTCCTTTCAGACCGCAAACATCCTACAGCTGTGATAGCCAGATATTTGCAGTAGATGGCACTATAAATCCCCACAGCTGTGAGGTACCTTTTTTCTTGCAAGTAAAGATATCTAGGCAAGTCTCCACATGGTACAGATGAGCAGCTTGAGGAAGATTATGCCCTAACGTACTCTTGTACGCACTTGTATACGTACTCTGGTTTTATGGCTTCAAAAGGTCCTGATAGTCAGTCAGCAAGAGGTCTTCTGTTATAGTGTAATCTTCCAGAGTAGCTCGGGATGTTACTTACGGTTTACTATTTACCTGGATCACTGGCTATTCTAGTCATATGAAGTTCACAACGGGCCAATATTCTTACCGGAGCGGATCTTCTGGTTTGATGCCTGGCGGGCTGGTAACCCTCTGGAAACTCGTGCAAGTATATGCATTCAGATTTAAAGGGACATCTCCCGTTACTCTGAATGAAAAACTTGCAACGTATTTTCCTTTTGAAAAAAAACATTTGAATTTTAGTCAGTCTCCTGGATTCAGTATTTAAAAAATATCCAAGATAAAAATACTTTCCAATTTCCCAATTCTAGCTTCCCTCAACACATACTGCATTTAAACAAGTGAGCAATGAGGAAAATACAGATTAACACACAAAAGAATTATGTTCATTATGCTTTAGAATCACACACAAAAATGTTGCTATTTTTAATCCGTTCTCATCACACGTCGTAATGACAATGACACAATTGCTCTTTATCTTACATCAGAGAGAATCCCCAAACTAATATTAAATGTAAAAGGGGAAATTAATTCCTGTAAAACAAGTCAAGTGCAAACATTCAATATCTAATAACGGACGTTTTTTCAGTTCAATAACCCCGAGCATTGAGATACTCGGCTGAGTTTCAGTGATATTGCAGAAACTACATGCAAACATTAATAATAATAATTATTATAACTACATGCAAACATTACCTCTTCTCAGCTTTGAATTTGTCAATGAGCTGCTGTTTCTGCTCATCCAACACCCAGAATTTGTGTGGGATGTAGTAATTGGACACGACTCGACATTCCGGACAAGCTCTGCAAACAAGAAGCACTTTTGAAAGTTTGAAGTCTTGTATATTTTGTGGGTTTGAGATGTTTCTTTGTGATAAGGCGCCATATCAAATAATAATCCTTCCATTTGATATAATACTTGCATTTGATATAGCGCTTTTCCCGTCTTCTCGACATCTTAAAGTACTTCACAGAATGTGCTGTAAAGTGAATTGACTGTATATTTGTGGGTGAAATATAGCACCTTAACGCGTACAAAATGTAAGGATTGTTAATTTAATATGTACTACTAATGTGTAGTAGGCTTACTTTATTATCTTGTTGGTGAATCCCCTGCTGTTTCTCCACTTCTTGATGCAGGTGACGCAGAAGGTGTGGTTGCAGTGAGGAAGAATGGCAAAGACACGCTCCCTAGCATGTGTTTTTTCATAAACTGTGTCCATACAAATCCCACAGGCCATCTCTTTACTCCTTTCATAGGCCAGGTTTTCAGTTGTGTTTTTCAGTGATTTGCTACAAGCCTAGGTTGTGAAGGAGGAAAAACATTCACTAGATCAGCATTTCCTTACATAAATATGAGCAAAGCATTGAATGGGTAAAGCTAATTTATAGCTGCACATTTCATACTCTGCATCTATGCCTATCCCACCCCATTCTCAAACAAATACTTATCCAGTTATTGTGAAATAGAACAGGGGAAAATTCCTAATCTCTAGGCCTGTTTAAGGAATATTAGCAATTAAATTTAAACCCATATGCTCTTGTCCTGCTTCACATTAACTAGCCCACTTAGATCAATGACGCATTGTTTAAGATTTGGGTCATTTCTCTCGAATTGTTTTCTGATGAGTATAAACTTCCATTTGCAAGCTCTGCTCACTACTGGGAGCTGCTGATAACCCACAAGGCCGAAGCATAAATCTGTTCATTGTAGTTCTCTGTACACATTCCGAATTCCTTATAGGTGACGAAAACACACAGTATTCCAGCTGCGGTGGCAATGATCTACACAAGATTAAAATAATTTCTTTCAATTTATAGTCAAATGGCTTCAAGATGTAACCTAGTTTGGGATCGTCTTTCAGGATGATTTTTGGATTCACCACTCAAATCACAACAGGTGCAGTATCTACATTGCTCTGTGAAGTTAGACAATGCCCTCCCCCAACAAAGACAGAGGTAACCTCAAGTGGTCACAGCTAAGAGTCGCTTATATTACCCTTCCTTCTTTTGTTCTCTACCCACAACAAACTCGCAGATGACAAAACTGCCTAAAGTGGAATCAAATAGTCTTATGTTCAGTTATTTTATTGGGAGAAATTACAATTTGGCAATTTGAGGTAAGGTGGGAAAAGCGATGGATAAAATGTACCATTTGTGAAAATGAGGCAAGTAATCCTTCGATTTGAGACAGATGTTGAACATAATTGTAAACCTGGTAAGGTTTGCGAATGTAAAAGCCAACACCTGAGAAGTTATTTTTAAAAATAAAAAGGTTTTAGAGAAATCCAATACACCCAAACATACACACAGGACTATGGATAGCGGTCACATTTACTGAATTGCAAGTGTGTGGTTATATAGGCATGCGCACATCCACACATAACTGAAAAAAAACTTTCAACGGCAGGTAAAAGGGACCTGTTGTACTCTTTGTGCTACAGTTGCATACCTTTGTGCCAGGTTGAGAATCTTTCAAATCAATTTGCGACTTTGCACCTTTGAAACAAGTACAAGCACAGGTTTCCCTGCAGGCACAGCGCAGAGGGAGAGCAGGCTTACTGACAGACACATCTTCATGGCGAAGAGGATTCACTAAGAGAGGGGGGGATGAAAATGGAGAGTATGAATCATCAGATAATGCAAAACCATCAGTTCAGAAATTCTAAATTGCACGCAGTCGAGGAACCGAGAGAAACAAAACTCATTTTAATTCATTTGCACAATTTCTTTTTGTGCTCAATGTAAAGGCTGTTGGTTATTAGGAGAAAGTTAATTAAAACCTGGTACATGTAAAGGAAGGCTCCTGCTATTCTGTCACCGAGAGCCTGAACACCACCACCTATTGCAAAGTCCACTTTCGTTTTCTACTCATCCATATTGCGTACCTTGTGATACTCCAGATTGTGAAGTTTTTTTAAAAAAACTAATGGTCCTTGTTTTTGTGGAGACGTGTAGCTCAGTGGTTAGAGCACTCACTTTGCAAGCGAGGCACCTGGGTTCAATTCCAGGCAGAGGGTGAAACCTTGGGCAAGTTTCCTTACTCCACACAGAGCCTAATAATCCCTTCAAAACAATAATAAATTGGTCATTTTTAATCCCCGACTGTTTGTGTGATACTGCTGTGCGCAATTGGCTGCCGACAAATATACAGTCAATTCACTTTACAGTATATTCTGTGAAGCGCTTTGAGACGTCGAGAAGACATGAAAAGCACTATATCAAATGCAAGGATTATTATTATTGTGGGCAAATGAGGCTGCCAATTTATACACAGCAATATCCCATAAACAGCCATTTAGTATTTGGAGGATTGTTGGCCAGGACACCAGAAGAAACCCTACTCAAAATAATTTATACATCCGCAGGCAGTTTGGCAATATTTCCAGGCCAAAACAATTAGTAAAAAGTCATCACAAGATACTCTATTGAAATCGTGTTCACATTCTGACACCCAATACATCAGATGCACATCACGAGCAATAACAGAAACACATCAAAATAGGTCTGTGTGAGTAATAACTAGCAATGCTGGTTAACCAGCTAACTAACCAGTTAACTACAATGACAGCCACTTTGAAGAACAAAGTAAATAAGCAGACGTATGTTGTATTTAATGCCAGCCCGACAGATACATTCAGAACTAGATATACAGCCCCCTTCACACAGGATAGTGTCTGGGAATGCAGTGCAATGGCAGGGTGGGATACTGGGAAAGTGGGCGGGTGACCAGAGGCTGCAGAGGGAAGGAGTGGATATAGCGAGAATCTTGAAAATGCCCAAATCCATATCCAGCGAGTGCTGGAAACAGACAAAGCAAATTCACCTGACGGTTAGGCAGCTTTTGGAAATCTGGCTAACACCTTGCATTTTTAAAAACGTAATCAATCCACTGTCACTTGGACTTGTAGTCCTTGTACCATTGAGAATAACTGCTGCATGAGCAATAAGCAAAAAACTTTACATTTTGCATAATATCTGCAAACAATATTTGGGAAAAGCTATGTTTTTGAATGGGAATTTTCTCCCTCCTCCCTGAAGAAAACTCGCAGCACCTTCAGTTCCATAGCCAACGCTGACATGCACTGTGAAGCTTCAGGACATTTAAATACTAACAATGAACGAATAATCCTTGTGTTTGGTACCGCACCTTTCACATCAGGGGGGACATCCCAAAGCACTTCACGGGATATTTCGTAAAGCGTAGTGACTGTTTTTGTGGGCAAATGAGGCTGCCAATTTATACACAGTAATATCCCACAAACAGCCATTTAGAATTTAGAGGATTTTTGGCCAGGACACCGGAAGAAACTCCCTTCTCATTCAGAATAGCTCAATGGGATCTTTAAAGTCATCCTGAACAGGCAGACAGTGCCTCGGTTTGATATCTCATCCAAAGGACAGCAGGTCTGACAATGGAGCGGTGTGGACTATGACTATATACAAGAAGCTACTTTCACATTGGGTTGCATATCCTTGCGCAAACTGGCTGCCGCGTTTCGCACACAAAATACAGTCACTACACTTTAGCGTTTCCGCGTGAAGCGCTGTCAGACATTTCAATGATGTGATAAGGCGCTACATCAAATGCAAGTGTTATTTCTCCTATTACACGGCAGCTTTGGCGCGCCGAGAATAAATACATACCCCACCCCCTTCGCCCATTGTTAGGGAGGAGCCACTCTCACCGTGATGTTGCTGAAAGTGTTGAGGTACAAATTCTTCAGCGAGCACCCAATTCCCAGAGCATCGAGGAGGGGTTTCATTCTCTTTATCTTCTTCTACCTCCTCTTCCTCCTCCAGCTGTGGACTGAATCGCTCAGCGTAGGCTCCCGAGAGTGTGAAACTGGGGAGAACGGGCGCGGAGGCACGACGACCGCACGCTACCCTGGCAGCAGGCGGCTGGGAGATGGCACAGGAATTGCAGGACGATGCCCCTGGCAGGATCTGAATGGCCGGCTCGGAGCCGCGCCTGGTGGAGTGCCTGGCGGTGTGCAGGCCGGGTTGCAGGCCCCGGCACTGGTGGGAGGATTCTCCTGCCGTCACTCGAATGACAGGCTCGGAACCTCGTCTGCTCCCAGGTGGCCTTCCTCCGGCAGGTACTGCATGTTGATATCTGCCACAACAGACACAAGATTGTCCTGCTCGTTACTCGATTTTAAAATAAAACCAGTATAGAAAAGTGGGCGTAGAGCGACCGCATTCAGCTCTAAGCTTGCTTTTTTTTTTTTTTTTTTTTTTTGAGTACACACCGTACACAAAACTGGCCTACTCATCCAAAAACAATCCGTGCATTTGATGTAGCACCTTATTGATATGCCTCAAAGCACTTCAAAGGATATGCTGTGAAGTGCAGTGACTGTATTTTGTAAGCAAAACGCGCACAATTTGCTTAGTTGGATCTTGTGTATGGCGGGTCTAGAGAGACTGACGAGGAGTACATTGGAGAAATTAATTCAGGAGGTGACAAAAGTATGGATGAGCGTTTCGGGAGCATTTGGTACGAGATAGGGCCCGAGCCACGCAACATTAGAGGTGAAAGAAGGCAATCTGGGTCAGGAACCAAATGTGAAACAGGAACGGGACGCAGGGGCTGAGGAACAAACTGGATTCCAGATTCCGCACTGGAATAAAACGGAATCTAACCCTTGATCATCCAAACCTATTTACTCAATTCTAATAATTTACTGAAATTATAAAAGAATGCTCATGTTAAGATGAGAGTTGCACGTCCACAGGATCAAGCACACCAGCTGCATTGAAGTTCAGCACCTCTTGTTTGACGACTTCACAAGTTTGCTTAACATTGTACAATGAAACTACTGAATGCGCGAGACATGGTTACAAGTTCTATAAGTGTCTAATGTACACACCTGCAGTGGTCTCCGTAGAAGCAAAATCCATTTAAATAGTGCCTACAGATCTGGGACGACTTCTGCACAGGCAGGTCATGTGAGTAATAGCAGTTTTGTCCCCATCTGCAGGCTCCATGGACAAAGTTCCTGCGAAAAGAAACAACATCATCATTAAAGGTCTAGCGAGTGTGGTATTTGATGGGCTATTCTTGGGTCTGTTGTAAGGATGGGTTCCCCAACATGGCACAGACCAAACACAATGCATTTAAAACCAGAAAAATTGGGAGTCGGTACACAGACGTGCAGTACTCCACAGGCCATGATAAACACTCCCGATTCTAAATGGAGCGATAATTCTTACTGATTTGCCAGACTCCGAGGTTATCACTTCAAAAAGTGCCAAAAATACAGTTATGTATATTCAGCTGACCAGCAATGTCTCTATAGTCATCAGCAAACTGAACAAAACTATGCTCTTGGGAGGTTGCGTTCAGATTAAAATTGAAGTTTCACTTCTCACGTCTGACAGCTCCATAAATGCAACATAGCGGGTCAGACCGGGGCGGTTGTGAATTTGGGGCGAGGGTGGGAGGATGACAGAAAGGACGGTCAAAGAGGCAGCTCTTGAGACAGATGGAAAGAGATGGAAGGAGGCAAAGCAGAGGGCCTCCAGGATGGAGTTATAGAGGGTGGGGGGAAAGATCAACCACCGATGATGGGGTGGACAAGGAGGGGGCCATGGAGTAGACCAGTTGTGATCCCACTTCATAACTGAAACTGTGAATATATGTTAACCCAAGTAGTCGAAAGAATTATTTTAATTCATGGTTAAGAATGCTCATGTTGGCTAGAAAAATGCCGAGGTTACTCCTTTATTGTAGCAGAAGGTTGTTGAAGATGTTTTCCATAACAAATTCATGTTTTAAGTTAAGTGTTGTGTTAGCGATGAGGTAGTTGAAGAGGCAGTTGAAAACATTTTTAATATAAAAATGAATTTTGGAACAAATTCATGTTTGTGTTAAAGATGTTTTCTAGAACAATTCAAGTTTTATAGTAATTCATGCTCTTCTATCAAAAGAACAATTCTGCAGATATAGTAACAATTCTGCATATTATTTTATTATTATTTTATGTGACATAATTGCTTCATAGATATGAGAATAGAAAGATTTTGTATTCCCATCCTGCCTGTGTAAATCAATGTATGGTTGAACAATACTTTGTTCTGCCGAGGACATAGCATATCAGGTGCTGTCCACACAAGAGCCACCTTTCATGTGACAATATGAAGTGGTGAAGCAATGCGTTTCATCAACTTTTGTTAATTTTAGCAATTTCAGGAAGAAGGAAAGCTAACAGGACGGCTGAAAGAGTTTGGAAAGCAACAGGAGAAGAAGAATAACAACTGCAAGTAAAGTACAACCGTTCAGCTGCCCACCATTGAAGATTCAACTTTGATTTCGCACTCAACTAAACCCAAGCAAGAAATTGTTCGTCTGATGCAAAACTTTTGCTGTTCGTGAATTTTCCAACTGACTCTACCAAAGAAGCAAAGATTCGAATGATTTACAGACTAACCAACTACTGAATCTGACACTTTGATACAGACATTTGTCTAAGCTATTGACCCGTCTGTTGTATTTGTGATAATTGAACTAACAAACTTTACATTTCTTATTAAGTAAAGAAATTTCAAAGCATGATTTGCTGAGTTGTCTTTGGTTCCTCGGTTCTCAATTTCTTACTGAAAGGAATACAAAGAATAAGCTTATTCTGCTCATTGCCCAGAACCCAACGCAACTGAGCAGAGGGAATGGGCAGGATGGCAAGGCTTTAAAAGGTTACAAAGATAGGGAAGAGCAAGACCATGGAGGGCTTTAAAAATGAGGATGAGGATCTTAAACTTGATCCTCTGGGGGATGGGGAGCCAGGGAAGCTGGGCGAGGATGGGGTGATAGGCTCAATGAGGCTGTTTTAGGAGAGGACACAAGTTCTTAATGATCTGCAGCTGGTGGTGTTGTCAACACCCGAGGTGAGGGGTTTTCTGATGGGAGCCAAGCAGGAGGGCCTCTGTCTTGTTGACATTTTAGGTGCAATCATGAAAACCTAAGTCTAAGTTTCATCTTGAAATGCATTAAACCTATTAGTGGGCATTTGCTATTTAGACTTCATAAAAAAAAAGGATTTTTGTGATAAATCCTTGCCAATTTGTAGGGCATTGCTGTGCACAAATTGGCTGCTATGTTGACCTACAAAATTGTCGCTACACCTTGCACCAGATGGTGTGAAACACTCAAAATGTCCCAACATATCAAATGCAAGGATTAGTGGATTTGCACTACTGAACCAGACTTTAAGTTACGACTTATAAACAATATACAAAACTACAGCAATGAGTACTACTGCTGAAAAAGAAGACCAGTAACCTTCTGGTAAACCTATCCCTGTCCACTGACACCGTTCCTATCCCCTTTGAAAATGGCCGTCATCACACCTATCCTTAAAAAGCCCTCCCTGGACCCATTCCTTCTCTCAAACTACCGCGCCATCTCCAACCTCCCTCTACTCTGCAAGGTCTTTGAACGAGTCATTGCTGCCCAGCTTCCCTCCCGTCATGAACCACTCCAATTGGGTTTCCGTGCCGCCGACAGCACAGAAATAGCTCTGCTCCAAGTGACAAATGATATTCTATCCATCTGCGCCCAGGGCTCCCTCTGCCTCCTCGTTCTCCTTGACTTCTCTGCTGCCTTTCACACCGTCAACCACTCCATCCTCAACCACCGCCTCGCCTCTCACCTCAACCTTCACAGTTCTGTCCTTGACTGGCTCAGATCGTACCTCTCACACCGTCTCCACTTCATCGCCACAAACAGTTTCCCTCCAGCCCCCGCACCGTCTCGTGCAGTTCCTCAGGGCTCTGTCCTTGGTCGCCTCCTCTTCAATATCTATCTGCTCCCTCTTGGTGACATTATCCACAGACATGGGGTCAACTTCCACATGTATACAGATGTCCCAACTGTACCTTTCTGCCTCCCCCCCGACTCCAGGACCACTGCTGTGCTGACAGAATGTCTGTCAGACATCAAGTCCTGGATGAGAGCTGACTTTCTTCAGTTGAATGTCAACAAGTCCGAGGGTCTCCTGATTGGCTCCCGTCAGTGTCTCCTCACCTCAGGCGCTGACAGCATCACCATCCATGGGGCTCACTCCCCCTCACTGAGCCAGTCCGGAACCTTGGGGTCTTGTTTGACCCTCAACTATCCTTTCTACCCCACATCTGTGCCGTGACCCGCTCTGCCTTCCCCCAACTCCGCAACATCGCCCGACTCCACCGGCGTCTCACACCGCAGGCGGCCGAAACCCTCATACACACATTAATAACATCGAGGCTTGACTATGCAAACTCCCTGCTTGTCGGCCTCCCCAACTTCTCCCTCCATAGGCTGCAGATCATCCAGAACTCTGCAAACCGTGTCCTCTCCCGCACCAGACTCCGTGACCCTATCACCCCCATCCTCACCCAACTCCCACTGGCTTCCCATCACTCAGAGGATACAGTTCACGATTCTGGTTCTCACTTTCAAAGCCCTCCGTGGTCTTGTTTCCCCCTATTTCTGTGACCTCCTAACCCCCTACCATCCTGCCCACTCCCACCACTCAGTGGGCTCCAGCCTGCTTCACGTCCCCCGCCTCGCCCAGCCTACGATTGGCAGGTGGGTCTTCTGCCACTCTGCCCCTACCCTCTGGAACTCCACTCCGCAGTGCCTCCACTTCGCCCTCTCCTTTGCCTACTTCAAGATCCATCTCAAGACCCCCCTCTTCGACCATGCTTTTGATCACACTGGTTCCCCACCTGCCCTTCACCCTCCCCAATCCTAACCACCAGCTCATGTCCGAAACACTGACTGTCCAGCGCCTTGGGACGTCCTCCCGACGTGAAAGGCACTATACAAATGTAATTTTGTTGTTGGCAGTATTTGCAAGTCCATAGGATATTCTATAGATAAAATTAGAGACTTACTGCAGATATAAATAAGTTAAGCATTTTTTAGAAAGCGGCCAACATAGAGAAACATAGAAATAGGAGTAGGTCATTCAATCCGTCAAGTCTGTCCTGTCATTCTATAAGATCAAGGCTAATCTGTACCTCAACTCCAATTACTTTCTCTT